TTCCTGCTGGTGTTTTTATGTAGAGTAAAGTAATTTGGGAAATCAGTGCCTGTCAATGGTCCGCTGCAGCACACAGTGGCATGTTTTCAGCATGCTCTGTAAACGTCAAGTCGCTGCAAGAGCTGCCGAATAACAGCAGGCTCACGTTACTTTTCTTTACTAGCAACTTATGTCCGGTTAGGAAAAGGTGCAAGGCGTTCTATCAAAAATGTTTATGGTTCCTTAGTATTGGTCGTTCGGTAATTCAGGGGAATCATACAGCCTTGCAGCCTGTAATTTCGGACTTATGACACAGCCTATGAGCTCTGTGGCGCAAGCTAGCTATAGTAAACCCTTGAAAGGTGCTGTGATTGGCGCAGCTTGAAGGTGCGCCATTGCTTGAGTCCGCTATCCTGTTAGACTGCTGCGGCTTATTCGTCTCGACCCAGTCAGTTCTACGCATGGTCCTGCAGCGTATTCTTGAAGCTTCGAAGTTTTTAGGCTTCGATGTGAGGCACTGGTGGCTTGAAAGCAGCAAGCAAAACTGACCCAACGAATGGCGTATGATAGTAGAATAAAAGGTTCTTGTCGCCTACTTTATTTGCCCCAGAATGTAGTTAGAGAACGCTGTTGCTCAGTGGAGGAATGACACATCCTGTAGATGCGTGGGGATCAGGCTCCGTTCCTGTTGGGAGGTTTCGTTCCACTCTTATAGATGGTAAACCTAAAGATATGATTAAGTTTTCCGTGTTACTCTCTGACCACACAGTCCGAAAATACAGCCTACACTGCTGGTTACCGTCCAAACATGTGGACGAATTGTGGAGCAGTTTGAGGTCAACTCTTAGGTTAGGAAGACTTCACCTACAAGCCCCGCCGCCGACAGTCCACAAGCCCTCACTGTGGTTGAGCAGGCAAGGGTCATGGAGCGCCTTCACTGAGGCGGCCGAAACGGGTGCCAAAAACTTCGGCGTGTCGTTTCTCTAAATTAGTTTGGACTGCCAATGGGTTAGCCGCCGCGAAACCCTTTGCTTCAATAATATTGGTTGCACAGGGTCTTCAGCTCCTTGCACAGCCTCTTCTGCATTCAAGTACCGGGCGTTGCCACCGGGGCCGACGGCACTACACAGCAGTGGTCACTGTGGTGCAATACAGAAGGCTGTATGAGGGCAGTCAACTGCCAAAACTCACGGGAGAAAATCCATTTTGAGGTTAATGAAATGGACACGAAGAGGCAGGGCCCTGCAGTCCCTGGTGATGCAGCTCTTTTGGACAGTGACTATATCCTTCCACTAGTATAGAAAACGAAAAAGGAATACACGCCAAGCGCAGTCAAGTGAATGTGCACTTTCCATTCAGCACAACCAAAAATTGCTTATAGACAGTGCGTGAAACTAGTCTATTATATGCTTTTCGCTCAGGCAATAGAAATTGTCCGATGTATAACTGCTTTAAAAGATTAAAAAAACATATATGCACTGACTTATCAAGCTAATCACTCAGTTGCAGGCCAGCTATTGCCACCATTCTACACAAAATGACTGTGGAATACCAAGTTCTTCATGAATCCACTCCACAAACTATTCTAATGTAGCGTCCTATGCTACACACAGGCACTCTACATTACGTTAGTTACGTGTAGCACTTCATCGAATATCGCCTGAGAGGGATGAATAAATACAAAATTGGTAAAAAATTACCAAGTTTTCTTAAAATTAGTTTCGTCCCGTGCCTGTAGTCTTCAGAGTTTCCCACATCACGGGAAAGGATCACCTAGGGTGCTAGTCGGTGCCCCCACAAAATACTCCCAGTAGCCACACGTAGTTGCACACAGCATCTAGCGCACACGCACACGATATTCCACCGTTTCACAACGAGCCAAAAGTATTCTGCAGCAGCAAGATGGACGAGTAGACGAACCAATTTGTCCACTCTTCGTAAGTTCTTAGTTAAATACGACTAGCGTTATAGAAAGTGTTTGTGTAGCATAACTCGCTTCATAAGATTGTAGTAAGAATTAGTAAAGAATTGACTATCGGGACTAACTAATTCATACATTGTGTTTGCTGCAAAGTTGAACAAGCTCAAATCAAGTGAAAGCAATTTTTCATGCGTTTGCGTTAGGTGCTATACGCAACTAGCGGGAAATGCTCCAAGGGCATTTAGGATGCAGGAAGTCACACGCAAGCTTTTTCTCCGCCGCATGTCAGAGCCGTGAGGGGCTACCCAAGAAAAAGGTACTTTTGCAGTAAGTCACTTGGTAACATTATTCAGTTTGCGTTGGTGGAGTTACGTGGTGATTAATGCACCTCTTAAGGCAATATTTTAATTGAAACACTCGAAAATAATATTAAGTGCGCATGTATGGGCAAAATGAAGCCTTACTGGTAATGTGATCGAGCAGAAGTGTTACTTCTGGTGTATTTCTGCGTTCATCCCCACTTAGCCAGCATTTGCTGCAGAGACTAGAGAGTGGAACACTCCAAATTGCTCCAATGCAGTTATATGCACTCAGCATCACCTATTTTTTCATTTTCTACACATAGAAGCTCTTTAACTCTAAGTTTTTCAGCGAATGGGAGGTATCGACACAACATCTAACAGGGACTCTAGAGCGGCTGAGCCTTTTGGTCGCTTGCAAAGACACTGCCTCATACTGTCTACTAAAAACAGCTACTTTCTTAAATACCAGAACATCGGTCTACAAGAAGACCGTCGCTATTAAGCAACGAGATACACGAAACGCCTCGCCGGTCCAGCAAGTGCAGCTGAGCACGCAGCCCAGGGCAGCCCACGCCTATCGTCTCCTTGTTGCCGTCTCGTTTCTTCCCGCTCACGCGGTGGATAACACCGGCAAAAGTGAGCAAGAACCAGATCTTTTGGCTAAATAGGCTCGTCACATCTTATTCTCTCCCCCAGATCCAATCCTGTATCAGACAGCTCAACTTTTAAGCTCGAGAGTGGCCTAGGATGGCGGTCATTTCGGTGTTAATCCCATTTGGAGCATCATTATCACTATTGTAGGTGGATGAATATTTCGTCACCGACCCAAAAAAACGTGCCGCTGCCATCTTTTGGTCATCAGGGTAGGCGAATAGTGTACTCATCGGAGACTCTCGGGAGGTGACATCTCGCCTTCTTCGCGAACAACCGTTTGGCATAGCCTTCACATTCGGGTATACCATGCCGCGTTTGATGCTTCTCATGCGTAACCGCTTGCGCGACACCATCCTTTTCCGGTCATTTACCCTTAACTAGCCGCACGCCCTTATTGTCCTCGTCCCGAGCAACGTCGCCAACAGCACTATTATAGTCGCCACAACGGCCTACAGCATCCTCACCTTTCTCAGCCGAGCGATTCTACTTAGGCTTTCCTCCACTATTACTGCTGCCCATTCAAGCTGAACTTTCCCCAGGGCCAGCCCCTCGATCTTCAAGCTGCGCTTCATCGCCTTCGAGGCAATCAACACCCATCTTCTGCACACTTCTCATCCTTGTTCCACCAACGATCTCGTGAACGCACTTTACCCAAAACCTATGAGCGCTCGTTCGCTCAATCCGCCAGGGTGGCATCAGTTATCCAATGGACAAATTTTAAACAGGTTCCTGTATTTTCCAGTTTGTCGGTCGTTTTGGGTAGATGTTACGGTGACCCCAGCATATTGTAGGAAAAGTAAACTCCAGCGCAACCGCGCCATGTCAGGAGGGCTCAGGATCCAGAGGCTATAATCTCACAAAAGGTTTGCACTAGCATAGATACCGAGCTTTGCAGTGCGGCGCAGCAATCCTATTTGCATCCCGATAAGTGTAGGTAATGTGCACACAACACGCATAGCAAGCAGGTTTTGACGCATTAAACTGTACACAAAAATTTTTCTCAATGCCTAGATCCATTTTCAGACAGCTTCTGTTCCGATCAGTAGCACGTGCAGCCTCCACTCGACCACCAACTGCTTGGCAAGATAAAGACCGGTAATCTGTTTGTCTATAATACGTGAAGCTTAACCTCTGCAAGCAAGGTGCACTCCTCTACATCTTTTAGCTCTTCCAATCGGCCGAGCATGTTGCTGCATCTCATGGAATGCTCCATTTGCCCTTTGTCTGCAGGCTATGCGCACACGCTGTAGTATTAACTACCCCTGCCTGCAAACATCCAGTATGCCAACCCACGGCACACTGTCAAGTTCCTTCATCACGATTGTTGACAATGAGCCTTTTGCGCCGGGTTATGCCGCTGTATGCAGACTGCATATTGCTTCAGTGGAATTTTCGGCCAACCCTTATTCGGACAGAATTATCACAGCGTTTAATACCTAGGGACAGGAGACAACATATTTGCCACTGTTACCAGGTTGTTCTGACCGGAATTCCTTGCAGACCCCTATGTCTCAACACGCTAAGAAACAGACACTGAAACCCCATTGCTTGTGTACTACCTCAGGCAAATACTGGGCAGAATCTGGAAGCTGCGATGCGCACCAGACAAATCACGCCTTGTACCCATCAACTCTACAGATTATTGGCTACCCACGTGGAGTTAGCGGAGGGCGACCTGCAATTTCGTGACCGAGTGTCAAACGAGTGGCAGCTGCATTGATACATTAAGCAGACTCCACAAGCTCTCTGATGCCGGACTGAAGTTCGCTTGGCTCTGCATACAAAGATGTAGCAGTACGAATACTGCCACCTTCCGTTAACATTTTATAATATGCTGTGGCGCCTTGTGGATCTTTTATGGGGTGTCCTGGTATTCTGGATGTGATTGCAGGGGGGATAGAGAGCGCCAGTAGCATTGAGGGGTATGGGAGAATGAATCGTAATGCTCTCTCTGCGAAGCAACCGCCCACCTAACGCGTGTCGCCGTCGCATTCCCTCCCCCAAGTAGCCTTTCACCGTGCAGGTACATCCTCTGAGTTAATGCGATTTCCTGTTCGTAGTGCTGTACCACATCTTTTCTTCTTCCATGATCATTTTCGGGATCAGGAAGGACAATACAGGTATTCCTCTTTCAGCGGCTGAGAATGAAGGTGCTTATTCCCCTCGCCACCGCGCTTGCGGCTCTTGTTCCCCTCACGCGGGCTGAAGATGCCGGCGTAACCGAACCAGTTGCTCCAGCTTCGCAGTTGGATGAGACTACCCAGGAGTTGGAGGTCGACGATCCCACTGCTGTAAGCAGTGAAGAATCTGAAGAAACCTCTCCCCGGCTTTTCTTCCTGGACAGGCTGTATCACCAGTTCCTTCAATCATTCTATAATGCAAAGTTTCCTCCTCCTCATCATGGGCCACCCCACCACTACCCTCATCCTGAGCCTCCCCACCACTACCCCAAACCTGAGCCACCCCACCACTACCCCAAACCTGAGCCTCCCCACCACTACCCCAAACCTGAGCCTCCCCACCACTACCCCAAACCTGAGCCTCCCCACCACTACCCCAAACCTGAGCCACCCCACCACTACCCCAAACCTGAGCCTCCCCACCACTACCCCAAACCTGAGCCACCCCACCATCATCATCATGATCACAATCATCATCACCACCACCACCACACCCCACCACACCCTCCGAAGACAACCACCACCACTTGCCCACCAACTACCACAACGACCACGTGCCCACCAAGCCATCAAAAGCCTCCTCACAACCATCACCACAACCACCATCACCACCATCACCACCACGCTCCTCAACACCCTCCTAAGACTACCACAACGACCTGCCCTCCAACAACGACCACCACCACCACTCCCTGCCCCCCTGAAAAACCAGATAAGCCCCACCACCCTCATCCTCCCCATTTCCCACACCCTTCTCCCCCGCATCACCACCGCCCCCACCCCATGCCTCCCCACCACCACCACCACCACAACCATCACCACCACCACCATCCCGAGCATCCCCACCAGGAGGAACACAAGCCCTCGCCCCATTCCTACAATCCCGACTATGCCTGGTAAATAGTCCGTCCAACTACGCAGGCGTGGCCTGCCCATGAGGCAGACGCTGGCAACTAGCTCGCTGTGCCCCGCAGGCATGACTTGCCCGGAAGGCAAGCTTTTAACTAACAGGTTCTTGTAATACTGCTGTAGCGCATTCGTTACTTTGTGCCTGTTGAGCGTTTTCGAGTATCCTGGATGGCGGGTATGATTGGGCATCGACAAAGTATATAGTGGTATTGCTTTACCAAGGACCAGAGAGATACGTTATTCGTTGCCCTTATTGTAGTGCCAATGTGATAGGCCACATAGATTTACTTGGGTATGGGAAGACGCAAAAATATGAACATTTTAATTCTATTATCACTGGAACTAGCGGCTCGCAAACTCCAGGCACATAGCAGTAGTGCAAAGTAGGATATAATGTTCGATACAATCAGCCTGAATCCGAGTTCAACATAAGGAGTTTCAGTCCACACTCTCAGTACATTTCTAGTTGTATTTAAACCATGAATCATAGTATTCGTTACATCTCCTGATGGAACAGCCAACGCTTTTTTGCAGCTACATGAATCGGGCAATAACTGCCTGAAGCTGCAGAGTTCGTGCCGGCGTTGAGGCAGTGCGTGCTGTTATCTGAGCATTCGGCGATTCTGCGCTGTACAACAGTTTTATTGCTGGGGGGCTAATGGCTCGTGACAGATTGGCATTGTCTAATACGCTTTTGAGTACACGTCAACGCGTTCGAATCACGGGAGCGTGTCTGTTCGACACTTGGGGTTCTCAGCCATCAAACAAAATGCGATGCATACTCTTGTCAGCCTGTGTCGGTAAAAAGCCAGCCTGCGGGGCGTCAAGTAAGCTGAATTTGCACAGGGAAGCATAACACTAAAAGCATTGAAACAAAGGATATAGCGGACGGCAAGAATCATTGCGTGAGGTCTATTCTCCGGCTCTATCTTGCATGCCTTGCTGATTGCCAATGGGTAACGCTTCATCCATTTGGCCCACATTTGCCGAAAGCAATCACTTTAGTCATAGGGAGCCAGCAGGGAAGAATCCATACATCCTGCTTTTCCCCAGAATACCTTTTAGTTTAGGCAGAACAGCACAGACGGTCTGCTTTCCCCTTGTCAACCCATTTGCAGGTTTTTGCCCCCTCCGGCGGGTTGTGAATGCTGATATCACGCAGTTAGATGAATCTGGCCTGACCAGTCTATTTCTCGGTGCTTTGAGGTCACAACTTCACTATCGCGGTAACTTGAGGCGCCATAACATATTCCACAAGTGCGAACCGCCCTGACCGGTCGTACAGTCAGTCTGTTTCACCATGCCAGGATCCACAGGGAACATTGTCTGCAGTCGTTTGATGGTGATGGTAGTGATGGGGAGGCGGGGAATGACGGTGAAGCATTGCAATAGTAATCCTCCTCAGACCCTTTGTCTAGTCCGTAATCCTTGTCCCCAGCTGATTATCGTAGCCACCCTTAATATCCTGATGCCATGCACCTTCATCCCCCTCAGTGCCACAACCTGCCCATCTGATGCAATCACATCGGTTAATTCCAAAGTAACACCCCACACCTTCACCACCATCCATATAGAGGCCCTTAATGCCACCCTTCTCGAAAGCTTCTGAGTTACCAGTCTACCGACCACAACCGTAACCACCATTGCAATCCCCCTCCGTTTTACATATTTGACCCTCTTCGCGGTTTCGACCACTGCCAGATCCAACAGCCTACCTGCCATTCTGCATTCTTACAGCTTGCTATAGCACCTCCATCCCACCTTTTCGCTGCATCTGTCCCTTTTATACCTCCAAACGCATTCAAGACAGACAGAACCGTGATGAACTTCAAAAGTAGGCTTTGAACCACCACATGGATGGTCCTCTGGAGTACAAAGCGTCCTGGTGAAAGGTGACCAGATATACGCAGTGTTGTCGAAGCATAGGGGACCCGCATGCAGCTAATACTTGTTCCTTGGGCTGCTAATTGCAGTTTGCAGTAGCGCCAATTTGTAAAGAGCCTTGAAAGGATGTAGCTGCTTCTACTCAAGGGCAGACTACCTGCTTTTTTTAATACAAAGAATTAACACTCCCATACTAAAGAAAACGAGAGCAATTGACAATATTGGTTGGCTCGTTTAGTTCCCCTTTCACACAAGACTGTAGCCCAGTGCACCACAGCACTCGGGCCTGCCTCGCCGTTGCTACACTCATATGCACCCCTCGCACATTCTATTTGCTCATTCGCTTGTAACTTGACAAAAATTGGACTAAGCGAGCTCGTGCCGCAACCGTTTTAAATGCATCATCAGCACCCATCGAGCACTGTCCGCATCAAGATGAATTGAGTGTGAGGCCATTGGATTGAAAGGTAGATGCTCAATCCCAGAGATTCGAAGCAGTCAGATAATACCAACCATAATCCTGAAGCGCTGCGCCACTAGCGGTAATGATGTTATACCATGACTCTAGTAGGCGTGTGCAACGGCAAATGCTACAGCTTGTACTACTATGGACACTGAAGCTAGTGTGCTACTCAATTTGTCCATTCCCAAGAGTTACAGTAATATAGGATGTTGACCTGGAAGGCCTGAGTCGAAAAAGAACAGCGGTTTCGGTAGACAAAGCTGTATAAAGCACGAAGCTTAATGGCTTGCTGTACTTGGTCAAAGGGCAACTCCCCAAGGCACGTCTCGGCCGCGGTTCCTCAGAACCTGTTTTTGATAGATGCAGTTACCGGTGCAATAATCATTTGGTGATTCGAATTTGCTCCGTCGATTTAGTAATATCGCAAGTTCAAATACCTCGATGCGGGGATTTTTATCACCAGCAAGTGTGAATAATGGTTTGAGTTCCCTTATCGATCCCCCTCTCCCCCCAATTTCCTGCCTAGTCTTGCACCTACTGCGTCAATTACACCCTAAATGTGATCCTGGCTGGTCAATGTAGATCCCCTTTGCACCCCACCGAAAAAGCAAATTGAACGCTATAGCTAACGCGCAGCAACAGCTGCATTTGATGAAAATAGGCACTGCCAAGCTGACTGGGGAATAGTCAGGATCTGAAAAAATACGTCCGCATGGCCCAGAATAAAAAGGCGCAAAACAGTCGGCCTCCTGCAGCAAGAAAAATGATGTACTCCACCGTTGAATTCAAACACTTTTGGGTGCGATACACACCAAGTATACCATCGGCCAGTGTCAGTGGTACTCCTGAACACGTAGTTAGCAGGTGGCAGTGGATCTCGCCTGCTCTCTTACGGGAGAGCTGCCCTGGTAAACGAAGTATTATAGTGAACCAGGATGCTCATAAAAATGAGGTCTGCCAGGAAGACTTGAAGCGCGAGGCCAACTGGGTCTGTTGGAGCTGAAAAACCGCAGAAAAGCGGGGGATTTCTTTCGAAATAAACAGCAAGAATGAAGTGGTAACCACATCTAAGGAGGCATTGGGAGAATACTTGTCCAGACGATTCCTGAACCCAGAAAGCACCCCAAAGCTGTGCCTCTACTGTCCTGTACCACATACCAATTTCTGATAGTCTGCTTGTGACACCTGTTGTATGACCTGTAGCGCACACTCAAAACACCGGCAGCACCGGCATATACGGCTGTTCTGCAACCCTACGGTACAAAGGACTCAAGCGCTGGGCATCAGCTGGCGCTGCGTGAATGTGCCTATGTGCTTGCCTGCAAATCGCGTTCCCTGTCGAAGCGCTGCCACGGCTGGCCCTTTTTGGTATCGTGCTGCTGCAGGACCGAGCAAAAGGAAGCGCGCAGATCAATGGGCATTTGTAATCCGCTGTCAGACGCGGTTGGCACAATTCTGACACAAAGTTCTCAAATGCCCTAGCATGTAACAACAGTTACTTTGAGTGCGCAATCTAAGAGGATATTTGGTTCCATGGTCAGCTCACGAATTCCTGTTCAGCAACCTGGTCTGCAGCCCGTTTTCCCCATACATTCCGCGCCACGTGCATGCTTTGCTTCCAGCGCTTGTACGCTTCCTCCCCCTCGGCAAACTCACCTGCCCATCAAGCAAACACAGTGCCGTGCGTTCCCTAAATACTATGTCGGAGAACATAGTATGGATCAATATTTGCTCGAGATATAGACCCCTTGCGATGAGTGAGTTTCGGGTTGCACGACAAGGGGGTTATCAGGTGTATATCTGGGATTTCTGGGATTTCACAAACCTTCCTCCCTCATTTCTCTCAGACTCTTCATCTTGCATGCTTTATTCCATTCTTCCATCACAGCTTTGACCCGCACAGCTTCCTCGTCGTCCTTTTTTTTCTGCTGCAGTATCTCTGCCCCGAAACGCCGTGTTCACAGTCCATATTCAACACACAAGTGTATTCCTTTCGATAAACAGACTGCTAACAAGAGTTTCCAGTCTACAATCAACTAAAAGGCCAGCCATACAAGCTAAGGAAGGGTTGCAGGACGGAATATGCCTACGTTTTCTCTTGGAGTCTGGCCCATCCTTCGCCGCCAAACAACGGAGATAGGCTGGAGCTTCCAGCATCCATTCCTCTCGCTGATACCACACAAAGAAGCAAGCCCTTAAGTTTGAGATCTCTACCAAAATTCATGAGCGCGAGGCTCTCCTAAAGCAGTGACAGCCCATTCAGTGAAGAGTTCGTAGATGCACGAGAGAACTGGCGTGCATGAATTTTACAGGCACCGCCGCCTGCGTTTGTGGATTTGTCAGACACAGAAATGCCTAGCCGACTCACAGCAAGTGCTCCCGATGCCGTTGGCTTTTGCTCAAGTGGTTCTTTCTGAGAAATCGAGTCCGATGAAAGCCCTTCAATTGGGGCCTGCTCTTCGCGCCAACGCTGAACAGCTTCCTCTGCCTTTCGTGCAGCCTTGGCAGGGTCAAAGCCTGCAGACTGTTCCTCGGTCTCTTGGTCCTTCTCAGTCAAAGCGTAGTCTGAAATCAAAGGTTCGAATACTGGATTCGAAGGGCCCAGCCGTGGTTGCAATGCCTTGCAGCAACGCTTCACGAATTTAGCAAGTGATTTCTTACAAGCCGGCACCTTGCGCCACCCCTTGCCCCGTTCACCCTCTACCTGAAAGAAAACCAGCGCATCGCTTTACATGCACATAGACATCTCACCCGCAGTACACCATCACCATCATACCGTTCGCCATGGTGCTGAAGAAGTGCAAGTGGCCAGCTCGCACGACCAGGATGCACTCAGCATACGGCACACAGATCCACAAACGCATACCACGTCGTGTGCGAGAACATTGCTAAAGAAAAAGCTTTGCACACACAATACAGCAGAAGACAACAAAGAGCCATGACACCCACCTCTCCAATAAGGAGAGCCCTGAACAAGTGGCGCAGCTTCTTGCGCAGCCTGGGGTCTCCTAGGTCCTGTAAGTACACGGTGCCCTTCAAGTCGAGCTGCTTAAATACATCCACCAGCTGAAGCGAACAATGGGAAATGGCACACTCAATGGGGGAAACAGCGATACTGAATAAGAGTTTCCTGCGTGGAGTCGTATCCTGAACAAGATGCGCTATTACGCTCTAGAGCTTGATCCCTTCCCAACTCACTTCTCCTTCCACCTGCGGAGATATCTGAAGCAGCGAGAGCAACAGTCTGTCCACGTCGTCCTTGTCAACTTGATCCTGAAGCGACAAAATGAATGCAACAACGAGTGAGTCCTATGGATTCCATTCAGTTGTATCTCTCAGGCAAAATTGCAACAAACGTCGTTCCTAATAAACCGCACTTTCTCTTTGTGGGAGAGAAGAGATGGAAGGCTTTAAGCAGAAGGGCAAACTACGTCCCTGGTAGCTTCTAAAGGACCACTGGCTCACAAGGAAAGAGTCGTTATCTTCGGTGCGTTCCAAATGCTTATCGCGTTTTTTCTTGGAACTTTTTTTTTCCTTCTTGGACTTCCGCTTTTTAGAACCGCTTCTCAGTTCATCATCGCTGCTGCTTCCGCTAGAGTGTCCCATCGCTGAAGGCAAATTTCTGATTGAAGAAAAAAAGCGTTGATTGCGCTCCGCTTGTGTGTAGCCTAAGCCCTCATGCTCGCACCAGTTATAAGTCGCCACCTGCCTAGCACTGAGAACGACCTTGGTGGTGCATAAGCCTTCCAAAAAAACCGGAGAATCGATTCAGTGCAATCTCCCCAGGCGGCCTGCCCGCATTTCCTGATCATTCGCCTCGCGTGGCTACACGCAGTTGTTTCTGCCCTGCTGCACTGAGCTGCCATACAGCGCCGCTACAAAAGCCTCACACAGATAGGTAGTCACAGCGCCTCCTTGCCGAGAACCAAAGTTAGACGGTACTACGGCTCAGGGCAGCACTTCAGAGCGCCTTCAAGTGCGATCAACAGGGTGGGCCATCAAACTGAGGTGCTGATCTATGAAAGGTAGATTAATTTGCGTTCATGAGAAAAGTGCAGTACCAAAGGCACAGCACAATAACCCATAATCTGCAGTACATCATCATGAGAGCTCCGAATATTGCTACATGCGAGGGGCTTCGGGGCCCCCTCTCAGGCCACCCCTAGACAATGATGCCCAGGGCAAAACAAGTCAATTTCACGCTTATTCTTTGCATTCGCTTAGTTGTTGCCGTATAAGCCTACTGGCACCAACAGCGTAAGTGCTTCTTTGCACCCTGTTACGGGGTTTGAGCACTGTGCAATTCGGTGGGTGGACCCCCTGCGCCCTTTACCAGGGAGGCCATTCCCCGCTGTCCCTTCAGACGATTCCAGCAATTTCATTAGATCTTGTTGCGCCGCACTTCATGTCGTTCTCATACCACGTACCTCGTGGATGTGGGACTTGTGTCTCGGGCTGTTCCACGCTATGGCGTATATGAGTGAAGGACAGAAAACCACACGCTGCGGTCAGAGCCAAAACTCGCAAGCTTCCCCAAACCTTGCAGCTTCCACCCCTTTTTCAATATTTCGTTGCTTTGGTGGGCTGCGGGCTTGACGCTCCCAGGGCCCCAGCATTCGGTTAGAGGGCTTTCCTGTCTGCACCCGAGGCGAAGCTTTCTGTGCTTGCGGCGCTCGTAAGGGCAGCCGAATGTGCGCGATTGGAGCTTGGTGACCCAAGGGAGTGCATCTCCGTCCTAGGGTGGTTTCTGTTGCTCGACTGTACTTTATCTGGGTTTCTCGGGCTATTCGCTCCTTGGGTCGGAAATATTTTATTCGATAGGTGCTTAGCTCATGCGTAAGGCCTCCGCTCAAGATGGAACTGGCCACTTCTAGCATTGTGGTGGACATTGGATCATCGAGCACCCGCGTGGGTTATGCCGGTGAGGGTAGCCCCTCGCAGCTCCTGAATTCGTGTATCGGTGTTCGCGAGATATACAGCTCGGCTGGAAGTAATTATGAAGCAGAGAGTAGCCAAACCGCTGCAGCTCGCGAGCTTCTCTTCCCTTTAAACTTCTCTGAGCGTCGAGATGGTGTGGAAGTGGTGCCCGCACTTTACCCGACGTGGCGTGGCTCAAGTGGGAAGCGGGACGGCGACACGAGTCCGACATACACACTACACGAAGAGGCATTTGAGACTATTGTGGCCCTTAGCTGCACGGGCAAACCCCCTTGCTCTGCGGGACGTTGTGCAAAAGGAGGGAGGGGCTCTTTGGGCACCTTGAGCACCGGTGATACCATGCCCTCTCCTGACAGCGTACTGCGTTTGACGGAGTTATGTGGCATGGGGGCAGACTTGCGGGAGCAGCCTGTACTTCTCACTGAGCCAAATATTCACTGCCGCGAGATAAGGGAGAAGATGGCAGAGATACTTTTCGAGGGGCTACAAGTGGGGTGTCTGTACACCGCAAAGCGGGCACTACTCTCCTGTGTTGCGGCAGGGAGGAGCAGCGCCTTAGTAATTGACATGGGAGCCTCTGGTCTCTCGCTTGCTCCCGTCGCAGACTCCTTTGTCTTAGATCAGCATGTGTCAGAGTGGCCAGTGGGTGGCGACGCAATGAGTCAATTACTTGGAGCGATTCTCATGGGCCACAACCTGCCTGTATTCCCCAGCTTCGCCCGCTTCTCCGCGCAGAACCGGGTGTCTAAACGGGCGCTAGACAAACCAGGGGACTGGGATAATGTCCATCCTTCGTATATGCACTGGAGGTGGGGGCATCGGCATGACTGGCATATTTTAAGTAGTGGCTAAATAGACGTGGATTGCAATATAACATTCTTAGCTCGATCCAACAAACACACTTCGTGCCGCCGCTTGGAAGGCCCACTTACGGTTCTGTGTATTAGGACCACAAGGGGGGCAGCTCCACATAGGGCCAATTTCAGTGCATGTTGCATACGCCTGTGTGCCATCGCTTGCAGCATCCTTGAAGAGCATGGTGTCTGCTTTCTTTTGGTCCTTTGTGAATGTGTAGCCGCATGCAGACCTTGTCTTACCTCAAGGAGGGGCTCTGCCGTGTAGCAGACGACCCACGGGATGTGGCGTCAGCACGAAAGCCCATTGCCCTTCCCAATCAGCAGCAACAGCCCAAAAGGCGGGGGACGGCCGCTGCCTTCACTCCAGAGGGATTCATTCAATCCCAGCTCCTATTTCCATGCTCATCCGCGGCTTCTGCGGCAGCATTACTTTCGGGCAGCAGTGGAAATGAAGGAGGGGTGATGGAACTGCCCGATGGCACCCGGCTTGAGGCAGAGCAAGTTGCCATGAAGGCACGTCGAGGCACTCTGTTCCTTTGTTTCGCGTTCTGGGCTGTAACATTAGTGGGGCGATGTGTGGCTCTACCATGCATTGTTGTTCTGCTGTAGCTGTGGGGGTCTGTGAGGCTCTCGAAGAGTGGTACAAGCTGGATGCAGGCCCCTCACCATATCGGTGCGTTCTTTCAGAGGACCGGTATGCTAATGTGTAGTGCTTCCCCGCAGCTCCCCGAGGTGCTCTTTTGCCCCGCACTCCTGGCGTCGCTCCCCGGTAGCGGCGGTGGCTTCCCGGGAATTCCGGAGGCAGTGCGACAGGTGGCTGAGGCGGTCGAGGCCGAGGGTAACAGGGACATCCTAAGCATCCTGATCCTCACAGGCGGGTGCTCCTCCATACCTGGTACGTGTTCACGCAGTTTGGCGTTGTTACTGCCCGCCGCTTTTTGTGGCTGTAGCCTCTAGAGGTGCACCGTCTGCCTCTTGACGCATTTTGCATGGGGTTTTACGCACCCGCGTGGGTGGGTGTGGAGTCCAATGCAGTCGCTGCAAGAAACGCTGTCTTCCATTTTGTGTGTGGGCAGGAATGGTTGAGCGGTTAAATCGCGAGTTGGTGGAGGATCCGGCAGTTTGCGGGGGCCAGAAGGTGCGTCTGCTTGCGGCCCCCGGGTCTTTAGAGCGCCGACAGTCAGCGTGGATAGGCGGTTCCATCTTGTCGAGTCTCAGTTCCTTTCAGGCTGCATGGTGTAGCCGCGAAGAATATGAGGAACATGGTCCCTCCGTTGTACAGAGAAAGTGCTACTAAATGGGACTGGGACGCATGTGGGGTGGCAGCCAGATGCCCTTATACGTCACTTGAGGGCACGCCCCTTGCTGCTTCTCCATATTCATTGCCGGGCTTAAACTAGCATTTTGCCGCGGGAAGTGCGCCCTGCGGCCCGGTGATTGAAGCTGCTGAGCAGCATCCCCACAGATAGGGGCGCGCAGTTGTGCAATGCATAGTGGAGTAGAACGAATGCGCATGCAACCGTTAATTGTGCTGCACAGAGATGGAAGTTTATGCAAGGGATATATGCCGACAGTGGTGCTGGTATTTTCTGGGAGCCGCACGACACCCAGTGGTTCCTGAGTTTGCCATTTGGAGTAACATAGATTTATTGGCATTCAGTGGGTCACACACCGTGCCATTGGCATAGGCACAGTGAAACCATTGCAACTTACCAAGTAGTGCTGTGTGGCTCACAGATGCATGCCTGGTCGCGAGTGGCATTAGGGGCTAACACCCCCTTTTTGACTGGAGGTGGAGTCAGGACTGGCAACCAACAGGGCGTGGACTGCTGCTTGTTCCCTCACTGTGTCGTCATCCCCATACGTATACCTTTCAGAGGCTGCAAGCGAAGCCAGCAACTAGGAGGCGCGTCCTCCGTACATTGTTAGCAAGGTCGATGCACGTTGTGCAGCTGACAATGATCAACGAGAACATTTGGCATTTTCCATATGTTGTACACGCCGAAGCAGCAGAAGAGAGCTCTTTATTAGAGGAGCAATGCTGCTTATTCATAGCAGCAGACATGTGTACTCGTACCTTCCAGACAACTGACAGTGCGTTTGCTCAGGGGCTTGATGCTGTTTTCATGGATATACCATACCACTAGTCTCCATCAGGCGTTAGCTACACAGAATGCTTCCAACACCGCGATATACTTTAAATAGTTGTATACGTTTCCAGTTAGGTACGAGAGTACAGCTGTAAGACCGACCAAGTACATCACCGGGAAGCGCCCACAAAAGTAGGTAGTAATCTTGGTTTGTCCGGATAATAAAGGCGTAGGTTGCATTCAGATGTGCTGGACACTTGCATGTACTGCACTCTCCATTACAACGACGCCAAAGTTGAATCTGAGGCGCAGAGAAGAATCTGTCACTCTACATACGTCTCTAGACAAGGGAATTCTCTCAGAGCTTGAAAACTTAGATCACATCGTGACTGCCCCCTAAACTCCCAGCCATGCTGCCCCACGTCGGGACTAAATGGGGCAGTGTTTACGTCTTCTGGCGTCGTTTCCTGAACGGAGGCGCAGATCTCCCGCATGGAACAAAGCCGGCAAGCTGCTCATCCGTCAACCCATGAATTTAGCGCCTTCCAAACCATCCCAGCTAGTTTTGTCCAGCAAATAATCGGGGGTCAATAGCTCTAGAATTTAGTACTTCGACAAATCCCTATGGATCCTTCGCCTCTGTGCAGATCACTTGCCTGCGCGGCAGCCGCACTTGAGCTCGGCTAAGAAGATCATGATAGTTCGGTCTAGATCCGATAGATATATCAAAACACTTAAAAGCTTCTTTGAGTCCACGGATGAATACGCTAGTTTTAAAACTTCTATTGGAAGCCAGTATTGGTAGTTCTGTGGCGCCCCAAAATTCAGGGGGATCGACAAGTTACGAAAGAGCATTCATTCGTGAGAGAATTGCGAATAGTTGTAGCCAGCTGTACACAGAAGCCTTTTCCTGGACACTGTAAGGTGCGCCTCGTCAACTGTGCTGGTCCACCAGGAATAAATCTCCAGGCTCGAAAAATGCAGCTGAATGCCATTTGCCAGAGTCTTGTTCTTGTCTGGCATCAGCTTTGCGGGTACATTCCCGTGCACTGACCAGCAGTTTCCTGAATTCCAGCTTCGCTCAGAGCAGCTGCCGACCGTATACCAGTATGTTCAGGCCCACAATCGAGAGGAGCTGCTCAGTGTAGCGCAGGGATGCGAGAGAGAAATAGGCAGACAACTGTACTGCTACAATGTAAACCTACATAGCAGAAGAAGAAAGTAAGGCAAGGCAGTTGCTTTTTTACAAGCATAGGTTCGCAAATACTGCAGGAGAGTGAGTTTAGTGTGCTCGTGCTGTCTATCTGCCTCAAGGAGCTTCGCAGTGTTCGCGCATTTCATGATTAATGTGTTGGTGGATCATGAAGGCATTCAAAAACACACTTACCAACTTGCAGTCCCTATCAGCAATGATTCTCATAGGGAAACTATGGAGCTTCCATGCACGAAACAAGAAAAATTGCGCGACTTTGTCAGCCGTCAACGAGCCGGATAACTGGATTAAAAATGAGCGTATTTACTGGGCAAGCTGACCACGACGTGAGTGCTAGGCTGACCCCTGACCTCCGTAAGTCCAACGAAATATGTCCACAATCGGTTCAATATAAATCCTTTTAGGAACTGGAAGGCCTCGAAGGTTAGATTCAGGAGAACTATGCAGCTGCGGCTGCTGACCATCTGCGCTTGGTAGCGCATACTCTTCGGGTGGTGGAAGCACTCCGGGACACCAAAGGGATTATGAAAGCTTATATCTTGCAGTGTAAAATATCATCATGGCCCGAGAGAACATGCCTCATGAGTCTCACAAAAAGGCACTTGGCGTATTCGGAATGTACAAGTGACGAAGTCTACGCTTTGTTTCGAAGCATAACAGGCCATTTTCAACGTGGGTGTGCGTCACCGCTGTGGGATATTGGAATTTGACAATAAAAGCAGATGCACAGATGTCAAAAGCCCAAGACGGAATATCGACAGAAACTGTGCACCATCATAAGCAGGTGCGGTTGTGCGGTACGATACTAAAATTCTGGAATGTCGAAAGCGCATCGGCAACCACGTCAATGACGCAATCATTACACCTCAGTGCGATTTTGCGCTGCAAGAGGCACCAGAGAACAACTATAGGGATAGTAAAGCTTTTAAGCCTCGTTTGAGGGTATATAACACACTGGTGGTTGTCCTGAACAATAACCTGGTGCCACTATAGTGCGAAACTATGTCTTGCTACGGCACACCGCGCAGAGTCCCTTTTCCCCCAGTCCACGCCGATGCTCGATCTCCGTAAAGCGATGGGAATAGCCAGCAGCAATTAAATGTATTTCGAAAAGCTGTCTGCTGAACGGGAAGAGAACCCACCGGTGCTTTACTTACATCGGCTATTAGGAAGAAGTGTTGCCGGTGCCCAGCCAATGCTAGTACCGGAGAAGTTCTAATGCCGCCAATTACTATCTTTGCTACTGCACTTGCCTCCCCTTTCGTAATCATATACTGCACCTTTCTATTAGGCTAGTTAAAGGACCAGCGATTCTGGTAGATCTAGAATCAACGCCCTGTTGGGAAGATGCACATTCGTGAAACTTCTTAGCGTGTATTGGGAGTGAACTAAGGTAAAGGCCATGCCTTGATTGCTTCAATCTTGCCAAATCTTGTTCGAATTTTACGCCAGAAACATGGAACCTCAGAAACACAATTGTCCCAATGAAACTGAACACTTGCGTTCCTGTACATAACTCTGGTTGTCCAGTACACAGCCCAAGCGCATGCCGTAGGTGCTGTACTGCTCTTGAACACTTTGGGTGGATACTAAGGCGTCGTCCATGCAGGGACGTCTCCAAACCAGGACCGCTAAAATCTCAATAAATTTCCTGATGCAGCTCACCTGGGGCACTAAGAAGTTCAAACAGCATACAGGCATACTTAAATTTGTGAGTGCAATTGCGGAATGCCGTTTTGTTGGTGTCTTCGGGGTGAATAGGAATGTGCTACAAGGCGAGGGCAAAGCCAAATGTCAAATGTCAAGCAGCTTGCTGAGCCCTGTGGTCTGTCGAAAAATTCCATCATGGGCCACTGAAAGCTTGTGCATAAGAGTGATCTTGTTTAGGGGCTCAGAATTCAACCGTAGTATCTATCTGTTGTCGGTTTGGAGGACAAGCACCGGACTATCCCTAAACGCACTGATCTCCTTTTGCACTTTAATGCCTCCAACAGATTATTCACCTGCCGTTCCATCTCTTATTCACGCTGTGGGGCTTCTGATGATGCAGAACACAGCTCGGCGCTCACCCGGGAACGATCTCAGTACGATGAGCTTGACGACCAGTAGGTGAGCAGCCTGCTTGCAGCTTGTAACTACTCGATACCTCCGCAAAAGCCTCCTCAAAATTTCGCTCCTTTCTCGTCTTACTCTGCTGAAAGCTGAATCACATTTCCCGTAGGAAGGGCTGGCTGCGGAGCCAGTAAGACGGTATGCACGTCAGAATTTTTCTTTTTACTGCTTTGCTGAGTCCTTATCTTGAAAGTGCCTCAAGGTGCTGAGGTACCAACTCGACGCCGCTCACCATAGATATAGTGAGCGTTGTTGAGGAAACCAAGAATCGCTTCCTCCCATCAGTTGGTGGCACATTAATCTTCATAGGATGCCGCTGTGGCCGCGTGCGCCCGTTGCACTACGTCGCCCAAGGCATGATTACAATTACATAAGGGTTCACGGGTCCATCACAGATGTCATGAACCTGGCTACTAGGACCCATTTCCTATTTGAAGTGGCATTTGAGAGTTGTAGCCTTAACATTCCCTGTTGTCTGCTGCCCGTCAGCCAAATCGGCTCTTAACGACTGCGCTAACGAGTGAATGGGCACCATGCACTTCTTTGCCTTCCCTTCGACAAGCACACCCCATTCATGTTCAGCATCAAGTAGCAAGGGTTGACAGTATGAACTTGCATCGGCGCAGAATGGACCCGTGGTGGATCCCTAACCTTGGCTTTATCTTGTGTAGCCCCATTTACTGTGTTGCTTCTTGGGTCAGGGATTTCCATTTCTGTGGTACGCCTCTTTGCTCGCCAAGGAACCTAGTGCTGCGGGGCCTACTCCCATTGCTACTGCTTTGTGGCTATATGTATGCGTTTAGAGTTCTCGATTATATGACTTATTTGCCTACAATAGTACATGTGTTGTTGGGAGGGTGAGTGGGGCTGCTGAGGCAGTGGGAACCTTTATGGGCTTCTGATGTCATTCACCTTAGACTGCATGCGAGGGCCAGTCGGCATAGCCTCGACATACATAGCTACTAAAACCTGACTTGGTTCTTCATATTTAACAGACGACGCAGAAGATTGGCTCACTTGCTCCTGAACTCCCAAGTAGTTCATGATTCTGTGGAACCTCCACCAGTCTTGTTTATTCGGTGAGTCGCTGACCATTCTCCAACAACCTGGCGTGGCAGTTTTGGGTAAGCCTGAGACAGCTCACTGTTAAAGCAGTTGTTGAAGCACGTAGTGGCTACTGCTAATGAAGGCTTCATATATTTTTTGGTATGTGAATCTGTTGATAGGATCTTAGTCAGTTTTCTCCATTTCCTAAAGGCTTGCTGTTGAGCTGATCTTGGTATACGCCGATGAGTCCGAGGTTGTATGAAGGCTTGAGCTGTAGCAATCTCTACAGCCAGACGACTTCTTCCACAGGAATAAAGCCACAATTGAACTGCTTTACCACCTGAGAGACATGGGTCAAGAATTACTCCTCTCCTCTTCTTAGGGGTACAAAGGAAGCACATCTCCAACCACCTGACGAAATCTTCGAATACTTGCCCATCCTTGCGATCGTCCTGCAGTTCTAGTCGTCATAACCTCACCGACGCATCGATATCTATTCTATGGCTGACAAGGTTTACCGTCCTATAGGATGTGTTGCTGGCACGTTTACATCAAATCGCAAGCCTTTCTCGAACTCCCCAACAAGCTTTGCGGTAGTGTCTACTTTCATCGTTAGCGAGCTTATCCCCCAAACTGCCACCAAAAAGGGCATGTCATTGAATAATCAAATGCTCAATCACAATCCACTTTTTTTTGGGTAGACCTGATATCCAACTGCATCCACAATCAGTGGGAGAAGGGGAATAGCTGCATCGAATAATGCGGGGCTAGCCAATATGACTGCATCTGAAGTCTTCGAGGGCAGACTTTTTCCTCAAGGCTCAATACAAACCTAATTAAGAATTATTGCGCTTTTTCAAAAACTCCCTCCATGCTCTACCCGCGGTCCGGCAGGCTGATCAACATTCCAACATTTGATGCTGCAGCTGCTGTATCCAACTATGGGTCAATAGGAAAATGGTTAGTTTGTTGATCTGTTCGTGGATCTTACTTCTTGCAGATGTTTATTAGCTAGGTACGGTAAAGCGAATGCTGTGGGCGTGTGTACCAGTTGGTACACTTAATTACCTTTGACTAGTTGAAGTGCTTATCGAGTGCAACTGCGCCTACCCTAGCTGTCCTTCCTTCATGTCGATAACTCTAAAAGGAGGGGGTATGAGGAGGGTGTGTTGGTGTGGAGCAATCAATACGCTCTGCTGCGTTAGCAATAAGTCTAGAGTTACACTGATTCCTAATGAGACTTTACATAGGCCTTTACATGCGCCCCTCAGAGTTTTTGGCACGAGGTAAGCGGCCCAGCCAGGGCGCGCGTGGGTGCTCTGAGCAGCATAAGGAGTCACAGCTAGCTCCACATTGCAACTGGCGCACATGCACACAACATTGAGTCTGGTTGTAAACGATACTGCCCAGTAAAAAGGTTATTCGAATGGACAAGTCAATTAGGCATTGCCTAACTAATTCTTAGTGCAGTAGAAACTGTCAAAGTGCAGCTTATTCCGCTACAAACAATGTTCAAGCGTGCAATATCGCGCTAAATCACATTCTTTCACCGAAACGGTACGTTTTACAAGCATTATTCACTAGTTGGTTATGAGCACCGTACTCTCCTTGGACTACCGGGGACAGTTTAATAATTATTGTCTGAGCAGCCTCAGGTGATTGTTCCTGGATTTACCGAAATAAAAGCAGGCTTTCATTTAATGTTGGTGTTGTACAGTATTTACTCTCTAAGGGTTCATATATATTCTGCCTGGGCGGCTTCGTTCCTGGCTCGCAGAGCCTAGGTACTATGTTCATGAAGTGCATCATTCCTTCAGTGTATGCATGTCCGTTTCGTAAGGCCACGGCATTCGCAGAGCTTGACCGCCTTGTTTGTATGTGATTGTAGAGCTTAGTTTCATGCCCCAGCAGCCAAACGGTTTGCCCTTTAAGGTCGCTATGCTGGACACAGTAGGTCAGAAGCCTCATCAGCTGGTGTAGCAGGCTTTTCGGACTGCACGGAATGACTGTGATTTCCCCCCAAACGGCATCTTGACCATAGTTTGCACACATTCACCTCCTGACGCTATTAAATTCTGAGAGCTGCATACTCCCTTGAGTATCTTCATCAGCTGCCCTGTGGTAAGGACCAGTCAGTCAACCTTCACATTTGCATTTTATCACTACCCACAACGTCTCACTCCTTAGCCGCACCCATGGCGGCATTTTAAAAGCCCACTTTGGCATTCACCTAATTTATGAAATCGGAAACTTCTGAAATGCCAGAAGACCGTGGCGGCTTCTTGCAGCGAGGTACTGCTGCTGGATGCGCCAGCCAGTCACTCCATTGACATGCAACGATGACAACAAAGATAAACTTCCTATTATCTGTCGCGTACTATATTAAATATTCTCTTTAGTGTTATTGATTTGGCTGCCGAGAGTTTTCTCCAAGGCCATATGCCCTCTTCAACCCTTCCCGCATGAATTCCGAGTGACAGGAGTCCATTTTTGAGCTCAGATATTCCACGAGGACGCCTACCTGTACCTGCCCATTGACACGACTGGTAAACTTTCGCAATGGAAGGTGGCTTCGCATGTGTGTGAGTGCCGGATGAAGTGAGCTGGCAGACATTACCATACACGCTGGTCGTCCGTTACTTGAGCTGCAGCGGGAAGGAGGAAAGGCACAAGTGGGCTTATCACTCCTCAGATCATCTGTTCATCGAGGGAGCAGCATCATCGAAGCCTTACACCAGTGGTACCGGGATGCTCAGTCTTATGAGTACAAGGATTATCAAGCTGACACGGCGTTCTTGCTAAGCCGTCACTGGAGAGTGCAGCAGTCACCAAAGCCTCCTTGTGGTATTTCGCGGCTTAAAATGGGTGAAGACGATTCAGCAAGGTCCAACAAGCGCGTAGAGCTGCTTCTCAGCGCAAATGGTGCCGGTGGGAAGGAAGTGTATGAATACACCCCTGACCCTGGGTCCGTGGTGTCTCATGCAAGTTCCTCACCAGACGGCATTGATAAAGGAGGTGCGTGAAGAGAGATTTGCGCCTATGTTTTCATCTTGTGCATGTGATTTGGCTGTCCTACCAATGCCATCTGTTTGGGCTCTCCTACGCCAGTTTCACTGAGGTTTGAGAGTATTTACAGGGGTTCAAGTGCACGTGGCTCGCATACAGTTTGCCACGGCACAACTTTGGGGATATTAAATTTCATGATGTTCAACATGAGCTCTTCCCTTATGTAGAGGGGGTAGTGTCTGTGTTTTTGCTGTTGCACTGGTACATGGTGGAATGCAACCGGCCGACTTGCGGTGCTTCCCGTGCATCTTTTTTGGCTGGCAGATGCACACCGATCATTGCGGGGCGCAAAAGAGATCGACGACACGGAGGTGCGTCCAAGTACTGCCTACGAATTCTTCCGAGGTACGTGAACGACTAGGCCAACCCCACCCACCTCCCTCTTCGTGGCGATCAACGCAGCTCGTGGTGCTGCTGGAGTTTGGAGAGCCAGCCGCACATGAACACGTCTTCCATGGACCTTGTATGGGCCTGTGCTTCTCAGGAAAAACATACAAAAGCACTGCTTTTCAAAATGGATTCTCCACGCGGCGCGCGTGGAGGGGCTCCAGCTCGGGTGTGATGGAAGTTCGTGGCCAGCGAACGGTGCTCTCAGCCTACAAGGGCGACAAAGTCAGCGACATCGGATCTGTGAGCAGTAATTTCAGTGCAGTGTCTTTCTGATGGAAGCCGTAGTGAACTTACTGTATGGAGAATGGTATATCCCCCTGTGTGCGTGTTTTCGGCCGGGAACTTGGCTCAGTATAGCGGATCGCTTCGAGTTGAAAGCGACGGCGTGGCGGGGCCTCCTCTTGATTTGAACTTGCTGCTCTGCCTTTCGAAATTTTAGCCCGCTGGGGTTCTGTTCGTCATTTTGCTTAGGGCAGCTGTGGCACAGAGTGCGGGCAGTGCTGGAGCGCCGTTGAGGTGCACAGGGGGCGAGAGGGAGTTGCTAGCAGTCCAGGCAGCCTTGTTTGACACATGCACTTTGCACCGTTGTTGTGCTTCTTAACACTCCGCTTCTTGACTGGCGGTGGTTTCGTGGGTGTGGCATCTGTTGAACGTGCTGACGTGTCTTGTGCGGTGATTCATGAGATGCATGTTTTGATATGCGTGTTTTTCCTGCAGATGTCCTCTACGGTATCGGAATTTCGTGAGGCTTCTTCCTTTGAAACACCCATTGCCCGGCTGAGGCGGTTGCAAAGCGAAGTCGAGGAAATGCTCGACTTCGTGTCATCTTTCCTTGTGGAAGAGCGCGTGCACCTTCCCAAAGGGGTTGGCACAGAGGGCGCTGAGCCAGAGAAGGCTGCACCATCGGACGAAGTCTCCGCCGAGCAGGGAGAATCTTCCAAATCCACAGGCCTCTTGCAGGTTCAGTACCAAGCTCGCCGGCTATCTCAGGGGGCTAAAGAGGCTCTCCTTTTTGGGAACGATCCACTGTCCCTTATTGAGGAACTCAAGAGGCTGCGCATGCAAGTAGGTGCTTGCTCTGCTGCACAGGCATAAGGCGTTATTTCTCATGATCGTAGACTTCCTAATGGACAGGCGGTATTCTTAGACGTCGCTGTTTGCTTCGGCAGCTGAGAGACCCCGCATGCAGACTCACTGCAGATGCGGCGCTTCAAGGGCGTCGGCTGACTGCCCTGACGTCGCTCTTCGTGGAGTCTTTCCGCAACGCACATGTTAGACCCTTCTCGCTCTCCCCACTGCGCATGCGTCTGTGTTTGTGATCCTTCCTTTGTGTGCGCCTACGAAAGGTTTCGAGTGTGCTGAGCGATAAGAAAACAGAGGCGTTGGTGTCGCACATCGAGCCAGTTACGGGTATGCGGTCTGGAGCAGCGCTGCTGGCGCAGCACCTGTCCACGGCGTCTACCCAGCTGCAGCAGGTGCTTGCCAACGAGGCGGAAGCCCTATCGCTTCCTTCTAAAAGCTCCAGTACGTAGTCCTCGCCGTCCGCAACTTGGGAGAGGAGAGCCTTTGTTTTTGTGAGGGGGGGCCCTGGAAAGCCAGCCGTGTGCATCGGAGTGTGAAGAGTCACGGCTTGGACGGTGAGGCGGTGCTGTGTTGATGCGAATGGCTCAGACTCGGCTGCGACATCGGCAGTGGCCGTGAGAGTAGGCGACGCACAGCCAGCGGCTTCCGGAGGAGTGACAGCTGGAGACGGTGGCGCGGAGCTGGCTTCGACGGCCTATGAAGTCTACTGTGTTCCTTCGCTGTCACCCATGATCGAGCAGAGCCGCATCACCTTCTTAGAACGGCGTTTGGCACTTGTTGAAAACAAGATGGGTCTTCACAAAATGAGTCTCCTCCCCCACGCGGATCTCTTTGAGGCTGTGAACGAAATGCAGCAGCGCATCAAGCTACTCGACGCCCAAAAGATCGAAAGCCTACAGAAGCGCGTTCAAGTCAGTGCTTTTGTTGAGACCTAGTGTGTAGGTAGCCAGAGCTGCCGCTGCGGCAGGGCGGCACTGCGTGGGGGAAGATCCCAGCAGTCAAGAGCGACTGGCAAATAAAGGCCTTTCGGGGTGTATGCACAATGGTTTCCTGTCCGTCGATGTTCCCTTCTGCGCAGGGGCTGCTTCTGGAGCTGCACGCCTTGCAGCAGCGGCGGCATGAACTGGATATGGCAGCGGAGGGTGTATCGACACCCGCCTATGGGGCGAGTGTAGGCAGTGGCGGGGAGTATGGGCGGGGGCGCAACGCGGGGGCCCCTGCGGCTGCCAGCGACTGGCAGCGCGTGGAGGAGCTCTACGACATTTGTGAGAGGTGGAAAGCCCCTGCAGCGGTGCTGCCTTCTGTGTTACAGCGGTTGAAGCTGCTGAAAGGCATTCACCAGGAAGCTGGTGGTGTATCTGTGCGTCTGTCCGGTGAGTGCGCGCCTGTGGGGTTGTGCTGGCTAAGGCCCTGTCCGTCGAGCGAGTTCTTTTAACTGCTTGACCACGCCGCGAAGAGGAGAAGGCGTGTTTTTGCGCTAGACGCGTGGGTGGGCGCTGCGGTCCGCGAAGGGGAGAAAGGCATGGGGTGTGTCTGGTGCGCGCAGTGCTGGAGAAACAGCAGGAGGAGCTGCAGGCGTGGGTAAAGAGGGCGGACGAGGCAGTTACGCAGCTGCAGAAAACCGTGTTGGAGAGCATCGAATGGGCTCAGAGGACAGTGTCGCAAATGCAGCAGCGGCTGGTGGCTGTGGATGCCTCGGCGACGACTGACACCTAATGCTGGCTGGCCTCCTCAGCCCTCGTGCCTCTTTCTCGCTGCCGCTGGGTCCGTGCGGCGTAGAGGAGGAGCCACGCCACACCCGTTGCTGCAGCAAGGTTTTTCGCGCGGCTGCAGGGTCCCTCGCGAGCAGCTACTGCTGCTGCGGGTGCCTCTGGGCGGCCCCTTTTCGAAGCGTTTCTGGGATTTTCGACACTAATAAACCAAATGGTTAGGGGTCTGACTTTAGCGGCCCTTAGGGCGGGGCACCAGTGAGCGAACCGTGAAAGTTGCAGTCAGTGTATGCATTTTGTCGCCGACGTGCGCAGCCAGAACCTTTTCGGACGGTGCTTTCGCGAAAAGGTTTTGAGAAAACACAGCTTGCACCCTACTGCTTGAACAGCACCCGTCAATGGAGGGGGTATGCAGGCGTGCAAGCGGTGCCGGCGAGACTTGGGAGCCTTCTGGCCGACTTAGTAGGCCAGGGCCTCGCTACAAGGCTAGCGGTGGGGGGAGACGGGGGGGAGGGGGGCACGAAATCCGTCGAAGCGTAGGCGCTGCCCCCATCAGACCCACAGAGCTCACCGAGGCTAACGCGTGGGCGCCACCCTAAAGCCTCAAACGAAGAATGGCGGGCAAGCCATGGGGGAAATTCCCGTGCGTCCCCTCCTAAAAATGCCTTCCTTAGGCAACAGGCATGTAGGGTTTGTATCCAGTGTGACTGCCTTTTCGAAGTGCGTTCAAAAGGCGGCATCGGCAAGCGCCGTCTGCTGCTGGGGGGCATAACCCGCCTTCGCCAAGTGGTAGCCTACCACCTTGGCTTCTGCCTGTGCACTGTACCGATACTGCAGCAACAGACACTTCCCCGAGCAGTTCAGACGACGGGCCCGGGTGACGAAATCTATGGAGTGACTTTTCCCCAGAACGCTGCCCTCCAGCGTGAGTTCGAGAGCCATCTCTAAATCTAGAGGGGCCTCCTCTGCGGACCCGTAAGGACTACCTGCTGCTAAGGGGCCCTCTCTGGCGTTTTGGGGGGGCCCCCCCGGAAAGAGCAATGGCTGCAGGTGAGTGGCGAGATACCGCAGGACCAGCCCGATTGACATCCGGCTGGGCACTCGCAGGTAGGGGCGTTCCAACTGAGGAATCTCGAGGGGCAGCGCCAAGACTCCATGAGGCCCTTGTGAGGCACTGCCGCCGATCAAAGCCCCCTCTGGGGGGGTGTGGGCTTGTTGTTGCTCTAGTTGAAGCTCCAATCGAGCCTTCATCAACTGCGCCTGATAGGTGTCTGGCAGCAACGCGATGGCCGTAGTGAGCTGCTCGTCGAAGCAAGTGGAGGCACTTAGCAGTTGATCGACAAACTCATTCAGAGGCTGCTGCTGCTGCTGCTGCTGCATCGTCGCCGCAGTGCGGCGGGTGCTGCTACTGGCGCGTCCTCTCTCTCGCTGCTCATCAGCTGCACTGCCCTGCGAAAAAAGATCTGCTGAAGCCTGCCGTCGTGGCTGCTGCTCCTCCGGAGGGGGCGCTAGGGGAGGCTCCAGCGGGGGGGCCCCTAGGGCCTCCTCCGCTGTGGCACGCGCTTCGAGGCGGGCCCTTCTGTGGGAGAGGGCCTCCCGTTTGAAGTGTCCACCGCTGGCAATAGAGCTGGCAAGATATTCTGGTGGGATTGGCTTGTGCTGATGCTGCTGCATGTACCGCTGCAGCTCCTCCTCTTCGAGCCGCTCCTGCACCGCGAAATGAGGAAACAGCTTGTCAACCACGTTTTGCATAGTTCGGTCGAAGAGCACTGCTGCGTTCACTGCTGCTGCCGCGCTGCTGCTTCCCGTCTGGTTGAAGGCTTTAGCAACGCACGCTGAAGTCACGCGTGGCATGTAGTGCCGCGTGTCTTTTCCCGCCCCTAGGCCAAAAGCGCAAGCACAGCAAACCACATCACGATCACCAGGTAAGCATGGCAGAGACGTGCAGAGGCAAGGCGCAGCGAGCCCTCTGACACGGCACGAAATCCACGTCGTGGCAGGGGGAGGGAGCAGAGGCATTCTGCCATGTCTCGAATAGAGGAAGTGAGAAGGGAAAGCCCATATGTGTAACGTGCAATCGTAGCTGCCAGCAGAAACACGCAGTTCAAGAGGCCACGAGCGCGCCGCGGTACTCGCCCGCTTAGAGCCAACACACGCACCATCTCGATGAGGTGCCGCCAGCTGCAGATTTCTCTCGCAAAAGGGGCAGCAGACTTCCTCGGCTTCTCCACTTTCTGCGTAACTGTAGAGGCACCACCGACAAAACGTGTGGAGGCACTCCTTGATGGTCACTGCGTCTCGAAGGTAGCCGGTGCAGAGCGAGCAGCGAAAGCTCTTCTCCACTGCCTTCAAGGGGAAAGAGACATCCAAGCCTTCCTCGCTCTCAAAGGCATAGCATGGCTCCGTGTCGGAATCCTCGCCAGAATCGGCAGCCTGGGAGGCTCCCATCCGCGAGCGCTTCTGACGTCGAAGCACTTCGGAGGGGCTGGGGGCCCCTTGCGACGGTGTACGGACAAAGGGGATGCCTGAAGTGTCGGTAAGCAGCGCAGGGGCCCCTCCCCCGCCGCGTGCAGGAAGGCGCTGCATCTGGAGAAGCGGTAAGGCAGGAGCGAAGAAGATCCCAACGTCTGCGACGCCGCTTGTACAGGGCTGCTGCTGCTGCGTGTTTTCTCGCAAGTGTGCCTCACTCGCGGGGGGGAAGAAGCAGCCAACGCGGCCTCAACACGGATCCGCTGTCGTGCCTTGCGGAGGAGTCGCTTTCTGAATCCACGCGAGAAGGGGAGCCACTGCAGGAACGCTCCGCGCAGCCACTCCACCCCTCCCAATCACACCGTAGCTTGAAGCCGGAAGGAAAAGGGCTCCTAGGGGGGTCGTGGAAGGACTCAAGTGAGGAACGAGCGCTGCCACTCACGGCGATTCGCGCACAAAAAAGCTCTGGAAGGCAGGGCAGAGGGGAAGACGGGGTAAGGCACGCCCAGGAAATCTTCAGACGCCTTTCTCAACACCCTCGCACTTACGCATGACGAAAAACGGTACAGATCAAAGGGGCATAGAGCACAGGGGAGCATCCGTTGACACGGCTGCCAGCACCCTGCGTCGCGAACGAACGATTGCACGCAGTCCGAAGGGCCTCCACGCCGTTTCTCACCGATTCAGACGCACAATATGTAGTGTTTAGTCCAGCTATCACTCATTTTGTGCGCGCGCTCTCTCTCTCTCTCCCTCTCTCTCTGGAGGCGATTCCACGTCTGCCTGCCCAGACCCCCCTTGAGTCTTAGGGGGGCCCCTCCGGGGCCCCCCTGCTAGGCCTTGGGGCTTTGCCTGTTGGCTGTTGGAGCCGCGTCGGAAGGAGCTCTGCATGACAGGAAATGAGCCATATTATCCTCCTTCCATTAGACACTGGAATACACAGCGCGGCAGCCGTTCGGCGTGGAGGTCAGGGGGTTCGGACGCTGCCAAATCCTGTTGCTGTGCAACTTCCCGGAAAAAATTTCCCGCACAGACGCGCAATGCGGGAAACGTACCCAAAAGTGGCAATATTAGCGCCGTGGGCGCATTTAAGTAAGCTTGTTCCAGTCATCGCGTTCGCCCCTTCGCGCAAGTTCCCCTCCTTGCCTGTGTTTTTCAAGGCAGACCGAGCCGCTCTAGGGGAGAGACTCTTTGCTCAATCGGCAGTAATACCGATGCTGCCTGAGACGCGCATTACCCTTCTCCTTCGTAGGTTTCGCGTCTAGATCTGACCGCGAAGGGTGTTCTTTTCCCTCCCGTGGAGGCGTGCAGCCCTTCGCGGTTGGTAAGGAGACACCCAGCACACAGGAGAGCGCCTAAGAGGTCAGCTATCCCTGCTGCCGCCTAGACGCGGCTGTAAAAGATGAGCAATACTCCTCCCATCGAAGGCAAGACTCAGGAGCAGCAGCAAATGCTGCTGCTTCAACAGCGCGCACAAACTGCACAGCCACACCTCGGGCAGCAGCAACTGCTGCAACACCAGCTGCAGCAGCAGCACCAACAGCTAATGCAGCAGCATCCCATCGGATCCTCTTCAGTCCAGTCGATGCCGCTGCAACAGCCTATGCTGCAACACTATCAGCAACTGCTTCCTCCTCAGCAGCAGCAGCCGCAGTCGAGCCACACTTTGCACGGAATGCCACAACACGCCTTCTCGTTGCCTCCCCAGCAACACCTCCACATGCAGCATCTGCAGCAGCACCAGCATTACATGCACCGACCTCCCTTGCATCAGCAACCCGTGCAGCTGCAACCCTTGCCGCAGCATTTGCAGCAGCACCCGCATGCAGTACCTAGCCCGCAGCAGCGCCACTTTCTGCAGCAGCAAAAGCAGCAACAGCAGCAGCAACAGCAGCAACAGCAGCAGCACATGTATGCAAGGCAGCAAAAGATCGGTGCTTTGCAGTCGGAGGGCTCCTTGCCGGCTCCCCAGTTGGCCTCCCAACCACACATGCAGCAGCACCAACAGCTGCAGCAGCTGCAAGCGCAGCAGCCCATGCTGAATGCACAGCAGCAGCAGCCGCTTGAGAGGGCTCCTCTTCCAGTCCCTAAGATGGCTCTTACGATGGGCGGTAGTAGTACCAGTAGTAGTAGCAGCAGCAGCACTGTGAGCTCTGGGGTAGGTGCACTGCCTCTTCCTACCACCATGCCTCGCCCCCCCCAGGGTAGCAGGGGGCCTCTTCAGGGGGCCCCCCAGGGGCCTCCCAAGCCAGTGACTCCGCCATCAACAGTTATATTGGCAGCAATGCCAATGGAAGCGGTGCAGATTGCCGCTCGACCAGGGAGCGCCTCAACTGTTGCAGATTTGGTGCGGGAGGCTATGGAGGCTGCGGAGGCGGCTGAACGAAATCCAGAGTCATCGTACGGAGCCGTCAGAGAGGCTGATGAGGGCTTTGCTGAAGACGACTTTTTAGACTTCACGGAAGACAGTGAGCCTCACTCCTGTGCTGGCAAGGGAGGGGTAGCCGAGGATGAGAGGGAGGTGCTTCATCCCGCTGCTCTGCTGACAGTAGAGTTCCTTGTTCTTCAGAGCCGCCGACTCTCGGAGCAAAGCAATGCGCAACTCTTCTCCCCCCGCTTACCCCCAACCAATGAGCAAGAGGCGCAAGCACCCTGGCCCTGATGATGCGTCTACCCTCCCTACGAGCCATGATCCCCGATTTTCGCTGACTGTGGTGTCTGACTGCGCAGTTGCTGCTTTGATGGAAGCGTTTTTGAGTCCGTCAGTTGCTGTAGCAGCCCAAACTTTGGAGCTGACAGTGCAGCTCGCCCTTGACTTTGTCGACGAACTTGTAAGCTCCTTTTGTTTGTGACTCTTGGCCTCAAGACACGCCAGCAAGCTGGCTGACCTTGTGGGGCTTCGTGGAGGCCTGCGCATGCGTTGTGTCTGCCTGAGCGGATCGGGTGGCTTGAGCGGAATGGGTAGCGACTCCTTCCCAGGAGAGTTCTCAGCGATTTCGAAATACCGCTTCTAGGACTGGGGAAGAGGCGCACAGGGCGACGCAAGACTGAGGGTTGGAAATTTTCCCGAGGCCACAGTCTTGGCGGAGTTCGCTGCATTTGTGCTTAAGAAGGATAAGGGCATGCAGCTTGTGTCGTGCAGCTTGTGTATGTATGTAGTATGTGTATGTGTGTATATACGTATCTATATATGTATATGTGCACAGAGTGTATGTATGTATGTATATAGTGCATGTGTGTATGCATGTATTAAATGTATGCATGTATTGTGTGTATAAGTATGTACGTCATACGGGTATATGGGGTGTATGTGTGCACGGTGTATTGGTACACGTCGGTGTAAATGTGGCTGTCGGGTGTTTGTCCATGTGTCATAGGTGGAAAAGGGCTTAGAGAATCGTCGGCAACAGCAGGAAAACTGTCGTTCTTCTTCGACTGCTCCAAGAAACCTTCTGCCGCCGCTGCTCGCTGAGGATTTGCTGGCAGCCTTGCGGTCACAGCCACGCAAGGCCGTGCGGTGTCGAGAAGCCCTTGAAAATTACAGACAGCTGGAGGAATTCAAGTGTGCCTTCCCAGAAGGAAGATACCTAGCCGCTCCAACGCAAGCGCAGACGCCAGCACCTCCTCGAGGCAGCAGCAGCAGCACTCCAGGGGCAGGCCTGCCTCAAACCCAGACACCCCATGGAACCTCTACCGTATCCATGCAACCGCAAGGCCATAGCACGCCGTTCGATCCCTCATTGGGGATGCAGGGAACTCCTGAGCAACCCCTAGTGGCCATGTTTGGTCAAACCCAGACTCCTAGGGTTCGTCCACAGCAGACCGATGCAACGCTCGAGGTTCCGCCTCCCCGCTTAACCCCCTCTGCTCCGAGCCCTTTGCCGATGAGCATTTAAAGAGGCTGGAAGGTATAGATTTACGAGAGTTTTGGGGTGAAGAAATAAAACAAATCTCGGGGCTGTGTACAGGGTGGAATGGTGCTTTCGGAACCTCTATTTTCAGCACATTTTGCACAGGGCCGGTAGCCAACGCATAATTGTGAAGCTGTGCACACCGTGTTGCTCTAGCTGCACGACGCGCACGCTGTTTGTGCAACTCAAGTAGGAGTCCTTGTTTCAGAAACGTCCAGCTCAACGAGGGCAGTGAGCTGCCTGGTTGATAGATTCTTCCCTTCCCACCAGCTCTCTGAACAGACGTTCCACTGTTCCCACAGAGCTTAGTTGCAAACGCGGAAAAAAATTCATGCAGCTGACCCACATTGGTGGCTTTTGAAGTGGCAGCAGCACAAGCAACCGCAACGCACACCCGCATCAGTCTCATGCTTCTGGGCACCACGCTGCACAATGGACTGCCCTAGTACTTGTCTTCTTACATACACCGATTGCAACGGGAATATCCAGCTTTCGGAAATTAAGCAAGCATGCGGGCACTCTCTGCGCGATGACAGGGGAAGATACATCCAAGAGCGCACAACAAAAAAATGCCTACCAAATTGTAGTTGGTACCTCTGCAAGGGACTTTGATGAAGAGGAACAAGACTATACAGATCCACAGGCTTTGTGCCTCTCCTTTGAGGCGATGGGAGGGCGTGTAGCACGACTGTGAGGACGATGCCCACCACCCCTTGCGTTCTGTCCCCTCGTGCCGCAGTACGGTGCCAAGTGTAGTGAGAAGATGGCCGTGAGGCAAACATGGTTTTGGAAGGGTAATCGTGGTAAGAAAGCAATGTTATCCGCACATGCGTCCGTAACCAGGTTGCAGCCGCCAGGCAAATGCCTTTGGGAACCAATGCTCGTCTTTCATGAGCAGTTTTTGTAGGCATGGCACTGCCCAATGTACTGGCACAATTAAGAAACGCTCTGCATGGTGGGTTCAGCGACATCGAGCTCTGGTATGCCGTACAGATCTGCTAGGCTCTACGATTCACTGCCCATGCCCCTACAGGGGAGGCCTCGTCACCTCACCGAAGGCCTTATTCAAAGGCGTTACACTTATTACACCCGAAGTAGCTGAGTACTACTTTTTCGAGTGTTCGATACCGCTGGGGTGAAGGCAAGCTAAGTAGTGAGAAGTGGTTGTACGGGCACGATAATGAAGCAAAAGCACACTGGTTCCTTGAATACGCACATGTCAGTAACCTTCCCGTTTGTAGTTAGGGATGCCGAGAGTCAACAGAAGCCTCGAGCGGAATCGATTCTGCGTTTACGCGGCACCTGGGCGTGCCAGGTGATACAGGGGTGATCTAAGAAGATGGAAAGGAAAAAGTAGCAATTGGCGCTACTGGCATGAGTTTTACTTCGTTAGAAGCTTTGTGTGGGGAGTGCTTGCGAGGAGGCACGGCCAAGCTATCCCTAGTGTCAGACCAGCAGTGCAACTGTCTGTGCCGCCTCTGTAGCCCACACGCATGCTTAGCTTGCCAAAAAGGAGCATTACATCCTTCGCAATACACAATTCATGTGGGCTTGAATCATGTTCAAAGTCAGGGGAATGCTTGCTTTCAACATATGGACGGATTGTGCGCCGAGACGGCTGTCACGCCGATTTAGCTCAGTCGGTAGAGCGCCAGCCTTTTAAGCTGGTGGTCGCGGGTTCGAGCCCCGTAGTCGGCTGCCCCCCCTTCCTTTTAAAAAGAGTACTAGACTTTTGGAACGGTTTCTCGCCACTCCCTCCCTTTCTGCGTACTCAATTCACTACTTAATGTAGAAGCTTTTCAATTTTTGAACGTTTGTTCTTGCTCGTGCTTGCGTGATGACGAAGTGTACTGTGCTAAAACTCGCATTGCCAGTCCGGCACGCCTAATAAGAAAGTTGCATTCGATTGCAATGACTGTATTGCATAAACCGCTTACATCCTTTTGGATTTCAGTTGGCTGGGAGAAAAAATATCTGTATCTGGCTCTACCGACTCTGCTCGAGGGGCCCCCCTAGGACACAGCACCCAGGCACATGACGCGAGAGAAAACGCGGTCTTCTCAGATGCAGCACACGCAAGGCTCGATCCAGGGGAGAGTCCTTGGTGCAGACTTGGGGGTCTCTGATACCGAGGGCCGTAGCACTACGCGCAGCAAGAGCAAGAAGTCCACTGAGGCGGCGCCTGACGAGGCAGATGGGGCAGTGCATGATGCACACAAGAGCACAGCAGACATGCCTCCGTGTGACGGCTCTCAGAGTCAGCAATGCGATACGCCGGGGTCCTCCAAATCCCCTGTGAGTATCTCCCCCGAGGAAATGGAGAGCAGGGCAGAATTGTGCCTCCAAGTAATCCTCGAATACGAAGCCGAGATGTCATCCATCCTCCCTCTGGCCGAAGCTTCCTCCGTCGGAGAATTCGAAAGGGATCCCGAAGGACTCGAAGGGGCCACAGAGACGACTAGCAGAGCTGGAGGAGGCCCCCAACAGAAGCGAAGGCGGCATAATTCCAGCGAAGGCTCCGACCTGCTGCTGGCAGAAAAAGGCCTCCAACGATTCGCCGCTTATGAAGACTTTAAGCCCGCTTTCGCCCAGCAGACATGTGCTCTGAGTGACGCACCAGGCGACGGTGCAGCAACCCAAGACGCAGCCCTTGCAGAAGAGGTGAGCGACGGTCTCTTTGTCCCCCAGGTGTGTAGCAGACTGCGGCTTTGCTTGGGTGTCTCTTCTATACCAGCAGCGTGGGCACTATCATTCCTCCACTAGGCAGCACAGCGCAGGAGAGAGCATGACATGCGCTACTTGGGTGTTCGTGCTCACGAAGAGGCAGCAACAGCGCCTTTTCCTGTGTGCCTCCCGAGCCAACAGGACTCCTCATTATACACAAAACGGAGTATTGCTCTTTTGCTGCTCGCTGGCCCCTCGCCTGTGCGAATGGAAGACATGAGGCGCTCCTGGATGGCACCCCCCCAACGTTTGCGGAGGCGGCACTTTGCTATGCGGATTTTGAGTAAGCGGTCTTCCGATTTAGCCCCTCATATAAAGCCTTCCCATCAGCACTGATTTGGAAAGCTTTGAGGGCGTAGGAAGGACTCTGCTTCACCTTTTTGTCGTTTGTTTGCCTCTTCGTCTGAGATGTAGTGGCCGGCTCTGCTGTTGCCGTGCAGGGGCTGCCCGTGTCGTGAGCTGCTATCGTGTTTTTATCCAGTGCTCCTTTGCTCGTGTTCTTCGTCCCTCCCAATGAAGGGGTGCGAAGGCGCACAGGAGTGTCAGAGCACCGAGTGAAGAGAGGCGTCCATCAAAGCGCCTGTGACATGAGTGCCCCTTTGGTTCTCTGCAGATCGCACGGCAGAAATCCTTTTGAGTTGCTTTGGCCTTCAGCTGCTCTTCTTTCATTTACGAGGTGCGTGGCGGATCCTCCGGGAGAGTCCTTCACGCAGAGCGTTCTGGTTTGGCTGTCTTGCATGTACGCTTTAATGACTGCCTTAAGTCCGTTTGGTGTTCCCTGCATGACTGTCTCAACAGGAACCAAGTTTGTTGCCTTGAGCCAAGCCCTGCGATTCTCTCCGCATCTGCAGCTCATCCGATCACGGCGTAGGCCTTTCGCGTTTCCACTGCATGCAGATTTGAATAAGGAACCCAATGAAGGCCTCCAGGCGCAGGGGTGCTTACAGCTCACCATTTAGAGGGAGTTGCGCGTGGGCTGTGATGCACAAAGCCCTGCACTGCTTGGCCTCAGCCGTGCATGCGGAGATTCCGCGAACTGCTGCCTGGGGATACGCCGCGTAGGGGCAGTTGCGCAGTGTCTGTTGAGTGTTCCTGCTTTCCTGGGAGCAGTGTATCGTGGCATGACAGAAACACGAAGGCGACGCTCGGTTTTTTACGCTACAACTCAGGGCTCAACGTTTTTCCTGCCTGATGAGGACATGCGCGCGGCTGCGGCAGCGAACGCATATGCAGTGCACCTCAAAAAGCTCTAGATCTCAACAGGTCGGGGCACTGTGGCTTGCTATTCAATTTGCAGGGGAGGAGAATCTCCGCGGATTCCTTTTGTTCCTCAGCGTCCAGTTCCTCTCTGCGCAGGCAGAGCTGCCTTTGGAAGTTCTCAAGGCGAATTTGCGCGTTGTGGGCCGCGAGGACCTCCTAAGAAACTTTGACGGTGGGAGGGAGGGGGGAGGGTTGGTTTATAGGGCATCGTTGGCGTTAGGATGCTTGCCAGGCGTTCCTTGTCTGCCTACAACCCGCTACGCAGTGTCTGCACACCTTGAAGCGGAGGAACGTGCAAAACTTGAGAGAGAGATTCCGTCGCGCAGACTCTTGCGAAACCTGCGTATAGAATAGTGAAGAACGCCGCCTCCGAAACGCTGCCTAGACTGGCAACATCCGTGTGCCTTTAGAATGCAGCCGAAATCCCTTGAATCAATGCTCTATCCGCGTTCGCACCTGGTTGTGTACCTGTTGTTTCCTAGAAGCCTCCCTGCTTAAGGCCCCCCACCTTAGAGAAGCGTCACACAGTAAGGCCGATCGCAAGCCCTGTGCCCGCTGGCGTGGGAGTATTGCTCAGGGCGAAAGCGCAGGCGGAGGAAGGCACATGCCTCGCAGCACGCCAGTTCTGCTGTCTGTCGTGTGTCGGCGCTTGACAGTGGTGGCCGTTTGCATGTTGGAGGCGAACTAAACAGGGGATCGTGTTCGGCGGGGGGTGCTAGCTTTTTCCTGATCATCCAGTGCTTTTTGTTGCATTTGCAGAGATCGACCCCCTGGGGGCCCTCCTGTCGGAGTGCGAGTTTCTACGGTATATATCGGTAGAGCGGCGGCATTCAGGAGTCGGGGAGGAGGCCGAGGTAATACCATATAGATGTGTGTGGAGCTCCTTTGCACCTGTTTCCCTACCTTCCGGCCGTTGCATCGAAGACAGTTTTGGGGGACGAATGCGCAAACACTAGTCCTCGGATGACTCCGAGGTAGGCACACGGATGCGGGTGGGGGGATCCTGCGCATGCGCTATAGGATACTCTGTTCGTTGCCCCTACCCACCGACTTACTTACGAACTGCACCTAGACAAATTTCGCTCCGAGTGCAAGGCCGCTGTCGGCGTGGAGCCACCTGACACTTCATTAAAGCTTCCGGAGGCGGAGGAACTTCCAGGAGCACCCGAGCCCTAGCCATCTCAGACGGAAACGCGGGCCAGGAGGCTGTGGTTCGATGGCGGTGCATGCAAGCGACAGTGCTACTAGCATGCAGGAAGGGCAGCCTATGGCTGACCGACATTTGCTGCAACGGAGGACAAAGAACTAATGGGGCCCTCCGTGACCAGCATTCCACTGTTTTCAGCTCCCACTTGAGGCATGAATAGCCCATCAAGCTTCTACAGTGTAATTTACAGCTCTCGCTGTTACCAGCCTCAGCGTCAGTGTTGCCTGGCCCACAGAGAACTCGGAATACGTTCTTGGGGTGGGGGATCGTGGCCTAGCATCAACTAGCCTTCACTGAAACTCACCTCGCCTGGCCCTACGATACGCATTCATAGGTACCTCTGCATAGAAATATTTACCGGGAATAAACATGCATGAAGATAGAGGTGTATATATACATATATATCATATATACTTTTAATGAGGCATGCCTTGCACCATGCACAAGCTGGTGCATAGTGGTGCGAAACAGCGTCGTGGGTACAACATGGCCACACACCAAGGAGGAGGGTTGCTGAACTGCCACACCGCCCCCCTTTCCTCGAAAAGCCTCAAATGTTCGCAACTTTTGCCTTTTGGCTCTCCGAGCACTGCAGTGGCGTGTACTGCTAACACGGCACTCGAAGGGGGACGGATGACCCCTAGCGATCCTTTATTGATCGTCTTGCTGTAACAACTGCTGGGTGATGGCCCCGTATTTGGCCCTCAAGATGGCCTCTGCGTTTCTTCTCTCCTTCAACGTCATCTGAGTGCCGTGATGCCGTAAGTCGTTGAGAAGGGCAGTAAGGCTGTGCTGATCACCTCCGCGAATTGGAGGTGACGAGGCTTCGTGGCTACTGCTATGATACCTATTAGTCGCTGTCAGTTCTATAACTGTCTGGGTTGCTTGGGGAGCTGATGCGTGTTCAGAGGCCTGCTGCTGCGTTTCGCTGCCGGATTGACCTTCCGCAGGGGAGGCGGTGGAGGGCCCATGCCTTGCGATTAAAGGGCTCGAATGCGCTGCTTCGCCTGAAGCAAGGAGGGGAAACAGAGAATCCACTGCAATAAAAGCGATTCGGATCACGCCGAAGTGGTGTTGCCTAGGGTGGGAGGCACTGAACAGCACGGCAGAAGCGAACACGAAGAGTCGTAAGACAAGCTCCATGCTTTCCACAATAGTACAAATTCAGTAATCAATCAATAAAGGCCATAGTATCTTGAAGCATGCGGTACAAAACGCTGTTTCCTAGCTCTTCCCAAGAACAGAGACAGAGCGCTTACCGAACTTGTAATGCACAGCAGACGCGGGCGCAACACTTCTCTTCTGGCCGAGCGCAGTCATAGACCGGCGAATAATAGCCTCCTTCAGATGTAAGATCTGCTTCTCCATTTCTTCCAAAAACATACTTAAAGGGCTATAATAATGCTAGTCTAAGGTTAGAAGCTCCCGCGCCTTCTTCTTTCGGATGATTGGATATTTGCGAGTGAGCAGCATATAAATAGCCTTAATGGTGGCCTAGGCTACTGCATGAAACTCAGTGGCTGCTAGACCCCATAGCTGGAGGCTTGTTGCTTTCTTTAATTTTAGTCAGTTGCTCATTTTAGGCTCATAGATGGGCGGGAAATGAGGGGAAGGGAGAGTAACTGCCTGCCCTTATTACAGCCAACACACGGACCAGCCTAACCAGTGGACTCCTCTGCTGCAACTAATCCAATTCATCGTTCACCCTGTGTGTTTCGTGAGTGCACTTCGGGCTATCGCATGGCCTCATCTGAGTAGTAGTGGCTTCTACTTGTACAATCACCTGCCAACTGGTGTCTACAACAACGGAAATAATCCCCCTAAGATCGGCCTCTGTCACTTGGCCCTGTGTATTGGGGTGAGGGGCATCCGCGACACCGTAGAAAGGAGCGAAAATAAGAGACACGGAGAAAACCAGATGGCACCGACATTAACAGCAGTGCGCCTGGCCAGGCAAGTGTTTCCAGGGCCCCTGCATGTATCCGTCCTAGTCACACAAAGATGCAGTCGTGAAGGAGCATCCAGATCCTCAGTGCGTCTGCCAGACCCTTAAGTTCTGAGGCATTTATCGAGCTGCGCTGTCGGCTCCCTTTTAATGCGTAGCGTGGTTGCGAAGTGCCGTCCTTTGAGAACAATGAGGGATGCATTGCGCTACCATAAAGAACACAGCGTAAGTCACTAGTTAGAAACAAGGGTACTTTGTGGGAGCTACAGATCGACAGCCACTGTTGCCACATGAAAAGCTGCTGCACTCCGAAGGGTGGCGCACAGACCCGCCTCCTGTACACGAGGCCTGGCCGTATAATGGACAGCGTTGAAAAGGGCACCTTTACGGCCCTAGGCGCATGGCGGCACACTCTCTAAAAGACGCCAGACACTCTTCATTTTAACTGATGCAGGGAGGCCACTAGCTGCATGTGTAAGTTTTGACCGCTAGCCTCCGATCCGCCTAACCCCGTCACCTCCCCCCCACCAGACGCAGCGGAACCCTTGCTTTTATTTTCCTGCTGTAGGCAGCCAGCAGAGTAGCACAAGCCTCAAGAGCCCGGTTAAATGGAGAGGGCTAAACCGTCCGATCTAGGTGCAGAGGTTCAAAGCCATTTATGCAAAGTTAGGGGCCACAACGTAGGACGCCACCTTGCAAAGGGGAGCTTCACCCGCGGTGTTATGCCTTTTAAAATGCCTATTGGCTTAGCTTCACAAACAGTCTTCGGAACGTAGCGCTATCTATGAACAAACGCTCTAATTCCCCCTTTTGGTACCAGTACACACAGGCGAAATCCATTCTCAATCAGACGATGGACCGGCAGGCCGCAGACACTGCGGGTGCCGTCTCAGCAGCGCCTTAAGAGTGTGTTGCCTCAGCAGGCGGACCATGCAGGGGCACATTGACTAGCAAATATCGCGGGCGAGAACCGCCACACGCAATGAAAAGGGGGTGCAAACACAGGGATTCATTTCTGCTGCCCTTCCTGCCCTCTGCGCTCGCGTTGCAAGGGTGCGGAGGCCTGGGTCACTCTAATCGCTGCGACTCAAGGGCCCGCTGCAGCTGCTGCAGCTGCTGCTGCTGCTGCTGCTGGATTTGCTGCATCCTTTGCCTCTGCAGAAAAGGGAGAAGCTCGTTTCCAGGGGGCAGCGATGGGGGAGAACACACAGGAGGCGCACTCCCAGCATCAGGCAAGGCACACCCTGAAGCCCCTCCGCGGGCAGCATCGGCCCCTGCAGCGAAATGGAGAACTTCCGACGCATGCCCCTCCATCGACGCGTAGGAGCCACACGCAGCATTTGCGCCTCCTCTGTCAGACAGCTCAGCTGAGACAGAATGCCGGCAGTTCGCCGATCTACCACGGACCCCGTCGGAGGCAACCCCGGCAGCGGCTAGTTCCCAGCTACCGTCGGCAGTCTCCTGCGTCCTCATCGAATTTCGAGGCAGCACCGAAGAAGGGGGGGGGGGCCCCCTGGGGGCACGCATGCGCATCGTCCCATCCCTTTCACGGCTACTGGGGGAGCCAAGGGAGAACGGGGGGAGGCCGCTCGTATCGTACCGACACTGCTGCTGCTGCTGGAGCTGCTGCTGCTGGAGCTGCTGCTGCTGCTGCTGGAGCTGCTGCTGCTGGAGCTGCTGCTGCTGGAGCTGCTGCTGCTGCAGTAACGGCGGTGCGACCCTCTGTGCGTGGTTACCAGAGCTGGGAATAAGGGAGAGTAACAGTTTGAGCGCTTCCTCCTGACTTCCTTGAGATGCCGATCCTCCCCCGCGTCCAATCCCGCAAGCAGCAGGCAGCAACTGCTGCAGCAACGCGAGCTGCTGTTGCTGCTGCTGCTGTTGTTGCTGCTGCACAAGCAACTGTGGCTGCTGCTGCAGCTGATCTGCAGGTCCTGCAGCAGCTGTAGGGCGAGCCCTGCATTGTTGCTGTTGCTGTTGTTGCTGCTGGTGCTGCTGTCTGACCATTTGCTGTAGCTGTTCCTGCTGCTGCGCCAGTAGCTGTTGTTGCTGCTGTTGCTGCTGCTGCTGCTGCTGCTGCTGCTGCTGCTGCAGTTGCTGCAGTTGCTGCAACTGCTCGTGACTACTAAATGGTTCACTAGCTCCCCACCCGCTGCCGCTGCGCCTCGCACTGTGGGGGTCGAGCCGATCAACAGGCAGAGCAACAGACGTCGACTTTGCCTGCAGCATCAGGGAAGGGGGGGGCGGGGGTTGGGCTCGACGCCAGCGCTCGGCAGCTGCTCGTTGCTGCTGATGCGCAGAAGAAGACGACAGCGAGGCTCCGCCAACGCCAGGCCCAAAGATGAAGTCTTTGTGCTCCTGCTGCTGAGGCCAGCCCTCTTCAAGAGGCAAAGAAAAGGGAAGCCTATTTACGCTGGCATCTGCGAGAGACGAGCGATCTGCACTAGAGACGAGAGGCCCCTGGTGTTGCGGGTGCTGAGCAGGCGGCCTGTGATAGACTCCCGTGGCTGCTGCTGCTGCTGCTGCTGCTGCAGCAGCAGTAGCAGCAGCTGCCGCGGAGGCTGCAGCACTCGGGCTGGCAAGCCACTGAAGACAGTCCTCCACACCAGGAATTTCAAACAGCGGCTCGCCGTCATCTTTACTCGAGGCGAATGCAAAGCGGGAAGGGCAGTAGCTGCTACTGCTGGTGCTGTTGCTAATGCTGCTGCTGCTGTTGCTAATGCTGCTGGTGCTGTTGCTAATGCTGCCCGCCGTCGCAAAGGAGGTAACCATGCCAGCGTACTGCACGCCCCCAGCGCTAGCCAGGCTGCCAGGCGCTATAAGCTGCCCCAAAAGACTCTCCGATCGATCAGACACACCAGTTGCTCGAACCATTCTGCTGTTGCTGCTGCTGCTCCCAGAGTTCCTATTGCTGCCAAGACCGCCGCTAAAACTGCTGCTGCTGCTGCTGCTGCTGCTTCCAAAGCCGCTCCCCAACTCCTCGAGCCCTGGAGGTGGAAGAAAAGTGCCAGCTCCCATATCGCTCTGTCCAGACACCTGCAGCACCATGTCGGAGGCTTCAAAGACGCGCAGCTGCTGGGTTCCAAGGTGCTCCGTCCCTGATAAGGCCGAGACACCGAGGCCTGAGAACTGAGAAGCGGTGTCATCTAGCGGAAATGCGGCTAATCGGCGCTGCTGCTGTTGGTGCTGCTGCTGTTGGTGCTGCTGCTGTTGGTGCTGCTGCTGTTGGTGCTGCTGCTGCAGTTCTGGCAGCAATGGCTGCTGCACTTGACTCGAGCCATCGGCGTCAGTTGCAGCTCCGACTCCTGCCGGGAGGAGGGCAGGGGTCTCTGCAGCGAGGGGGCGGGGTCCTTCGAGGATCCTGCCCTCCAAGTAGTCGAGGTGAAATGCCTTCCAGCTGGCGGGAGGCTGCTGCTGCTGCTGCTGCTGCACGAGCTCAGGCTGCTCCTGCAGCAGCTGCTGCCGCTCCTGCTGCTGCTGAGGAGCTGTCAAAACACAGCTACTGCTGCCTGCGCCCTTCGCTGCATCTGCAGCAGGTCTCTCTAGGCCGTTCTCATCCTCTCCAGATGTCTTTCCCCTTCCCCCTTCCGCCGCTGTCGGCAAATTCTCAGCATTTGCCAGTGGCGACTCGCTGCTGCTGCTCCCCTCTCGGTACTCGGAAACGTCCTCCACTGCATGCGGCTTCCTACCCCGTCCCGGGCGGCTGCTGTCAGACGCTTCTGTCTGCTGCTTGTGCTGCTGCTGTTGCTGTTGCTGCTGTTGTTGCTGCTGCTGCTGCTGCTGCTGTTGCTGCTGTTGCTGCTGCTGCGCTGACTGACTTGCAATACGGTCGGAAGCCGCTGAAGATCCCCGCAGCTTTCCAACAACATGCGCAGATTCTGCTGCTGGTGCTGGCGCCGCCGGCGAGGACAAAGCAGCAGCAGCAGCACTTGGCTTGACGCCACCAGCAGCGACTGATGCCCATGTGCTGCAGACGGTGCCTTGAGGCTTCATTTTAGACTTGGTCCCAGAAGCATTGCGGGGAGTTTTATCCTCGTCCTCCGGGGCAGTGGCTGCAGCAACGGCCATCCCTGCCAAAGCGGGAGAAGGCGCAGCAGCAGAAGGAGCAGAAGCAGCAGAAGAAGCGGGAGCAGCAGAAGAAGAGGCCGCTGTTGCTGCGTCACTAAGGGTGTTTGCCTTTCTGGAGGAAGAAGAAAGGCGCTGGGATGTGGAAGAGGAGGCATCCGACACTTCTTCGTCGCTGCCGAGATCGCCCTCTCCGTTCCTGAAGACGCAGCAGTAGAAGCAGGCAGCCGACAGGAGAGATGAGATGCAAGAAGGGGGGCCCATGTACCAAAATTCGCTAAGCGCGTCAAATACCAGAAGACAACTGCAAGAAGAACCGCCATTCGCACAAGTGCACCGCGCAAAAGAAAGAAAAAGCAAAAGGGAGGTGAGAAGTCGAAGGCATGCAAGGGCCACTATTGCGCAGTCGGAACCTACAACACTCCTGAATTGCCTGGACCCTGCAAATACGACACAGAGAGAAATGACACCACACTTCATCCATACGGCAGAATCAGCATTCACGGTCTTCTAATAGTCGCTGCATGAATAATGGGTATGTGTGTGGGATGTGAGGTGTATATATTTATTTATTCATAGGTACCCCGTGCGCCGCCAGCCTCTCTGACTGATGGCAGCTCCTCCCAGTACGCTTCCAGAAGGACAGCCGTTGGAGTTTGCCCTGCCGCTCCTTATATGAACGGCTAAGTCGTGTCTCCCCTTTAGACCGACAGCAGCGTGAGGCGCTTATTTGCGCGTGCCTCAACACTCAGCAAGGCTGCGTGCTCGTTGAAGAACATCCACAGCAACACCTGTTGCGTAGCCTACCTCAAGAGGGTCCTCTCTTTGCGTGTTGCGGTTCGCTGCATCAGGGAGCTTGCCAAACAGACTGGTGGTCGGCTTTCGCTCAGAGTTGCTTGGAAATGTCAAATCCAAGAATTGGTGCTTCGCGCTGATCATCGCCTCCTTCGTGAAGCTGCAGGACGCCCTCAAGCACAGAGGCGATGCGAAATTGCCAAAGAGAGAGAGAAAGAAAGAAAGAAAAAGAGAGACGGCGACACAGAGCCCATTAGGTCGATGGATGCAAAGTGCCTCTATTCGGACAGTAAATTTCTCGCCTCAAGAGACGAGAAATCGAGAATTTTTTTCACACCACGGCCCTCTTATCCCCTTTTTCTCTTCCCTCCCCGCCCCGACACGTGGTGCTGTGCAGTCGCGGCGTCTAGAAGAACCGAAGCAGGCATTTCTATGGCGTGAAAAGCCTTCTCCTCCCCCGCAAGACCGTCAAGTCGCAAGAGCAAAGGCCTTGGGAAGAACAAGAAACAGATCTAGAGACTTAGCCCGCCCTACGCGAATGGATGGTTGTGCAAGCATGACAACGCAAAGCTCGCCTCGCTCGCGAAGACAGCAGCTCACCTATCTTTGCCGGATCCAAGCTGATGCAGATAGGAGCAGTCTGGATTCTGACACTTCACACCCTTTAAAAAGTGCGAACAATACCTGCAGCCACCGCAAAACAAGCATTGCACACAACTTTTGCCGCGAAAATCGAGAGGCTGAGTGCCTGGAGGGGCAAAGCAACATGAGGAAGCGAGGGCCACCCCAGTCAGCCGCTATTCCTGCCGCGCTGATGCTGATGCTGCTGCAAAACGGCATGCTATAAATAAGAGGCTGTGTGTCTGTATATATATATATATATATACAGACACACACACTTTCACACACGCTTTCACACACACACTTTCACACTTCCACACTTTCACACTTCCACACTTTCACACTTTCACACTTCCACACTTTCACACACACACTTTCACACTTTCACACACACAGACACACCTCCCCCTCCTTCCCTCTTCCCCCTCAAGGTACAACGAAGAGTTGCCCCTACTTGGTGGTTCCGAAAGAGGCCTTGAGGGTGCGACCTTCGTAGACTGCCCCGTCAACCCCCTGAATTGCCGCAACAGCTTCTTTGCTAGACGAGTAGGTCACATACACTGCAAAAGAGGGGCCTCCCCAGTGTCTGAAGCACCGGCAAGCACACGCCACAGCCACAAAACATCCCCTTCACGGCCAAAGACATCACAGAAAGCCCGTCCTGCCCCCCGTCGAGACTCGCGCACCAGGCAGCCTCCGCATGCACGGGAAAAAGCAGACACCGTCGAAAGAGCAAGACGGCCGGCAAACTAGCAAGCATGCATGCAAGCAAACGAAGTGACAGCCGCTAGACGGCAAATGAGCGCTTGCACACACACAGACACACCTGCCGCAGCCCTCAGAGGATCGATACAGCCAAGCGCAAAAAAAAGAACTCAAACAGGACACCCCACAGCCCGCAGGACGGCCAGTCCATAGAGACATCTTTTAATTAAGCTTCTACGTGCAGCCTAGGCCAGAGGGATCCTAGGAGCGACTGCGTAAAACTCACCCTTGGTTCTTGTTGACGACTATCTGAAGAACCTTGCCGTACTGGCCAAAGAATTCGTGGCGTCGCAGAATCTGCAGAGACAGAGAGGCCTCACGGCACCAAGCAGTCCTAGGCCCGTCCACATGCATGCTCAAGAAGCCTCCCCAACTGCCGCTACAACGACAACTGGCGAAGGCGGCACTTGAGCGGAGCGCTCCTACTTAGCCTCGCCACCACCTCCCCACCACGAAGCAGGAGAAAGCAAAAGGAAAAATACAATTCTCGCAAGATAAAAAATACCGACACGAACCGGGAACCTCCACTCAAAAGGCCAAACAGCTCCCCTGCCCACCCCAACCCGCATGCTGAGACTTCTCTAACCATACACACAGCTAGCCAATACACAAATACAACCTCTCGCAGCTTCGAAACTCGCATGCGCAGCCAGTAGTCCATACAACGAACGAGCAGGCAAGCAGGCAGGCAGGCAGGCAGGCAGGCAGGCAAGCGGATAGCCTCAAAACTCCACGATGAACTCCCAAAGCCACACACAGAGAAGTGCCCACACTCACATACACACAAGCAAGCAAGCCACCAAATGCCAGGAACCCCCCAACGTTCCGAACATCATGTTCATCCCATCCCCCTCCCTTCCCCACCGGAAACACTTGACTGACCTCCTTTTTTGCAATGGAAGGGGGTATCCCTATGACATACACGAGGCACCGCTGAATAACACGAACGTCCTTCAAGGCTGCAGCTTGCGCGGGAGCAGGCACTGCCGCCTCTCTGGAGCCAAGCCTTGCAGCTCCTACCCCCTGCTGCTGCACTGGAAGCCCCCGACTGCTGCTGCTGCTGCTGCTGGATACACCTAGGCCACTACTCGCAGCACCTCCTCGCGCAGCTGCTGCCGTGCATCCCGTCCTGCTGACAGGAACGCTGCCGCTGCTCCCGCTGCGTGTCGCCTCTGCAGAGCCGCAGACTTTCTCTCTCGACTTGCGACCAATTTGCTTCGTGAGTCTGAGCGTCGTTACACCCACAACACACAAAAGGCCCCTCTTGAGACCCCTTCCTTGGGAGCTATATGTGCGCAGGGCTTTACCTCAGGCAAGCGGGCATGCGAAAACTCCCCCTACCCCCGAGAGCTTCCGCCGTAAAATCCGCCACACACGACACTGCACCTACCCCAAAACTATGTTCGACACGCTACGCAGAAACGCCGCATGGGCTCTGAAAAATTTTTAGCCCCCTCCAGAAGGAAGGGTGTTCTTCTGGTGGTGTCTGTACACCTGCTGAGGACCGTATGCGGGACGGAAGGGGGGAGAGAGCCAGATGACGCTTACTCTACGACGCGCGATTGATCATATTTGAATTTCTTCTCATCATAGTCCCGCCTGCAGGCTGGGCACTTATTCGCAAGGTGATCTCGGATGTGGTGGAGACACCACAAGCACACCTGACAGAGACTCGCGGCAATGCAGCAGCACAACAACATACACATGGCGAGGCAACTCCCGTCTAAGACACGCTGCCCTCCTGTGAGACAATAAAACAGCAAGAACTCTAACCACGGCCTCTCGAGGAAAGAATACAGCGGCCACAGCCATGTGCTATCCAAAACATTGCGCACTTTTACACGTTCACATGCATACTTTCACACGTTCACATACACTTCCACACATATAGGTTCACACGTTCACATACACATACATACTTTTACACGTTCACATACGTACTTTCACACGTTCACATACACATACATACTTTTACACGTGCACATACGTACTTTCACACGTTCACATACACATACACCTTCACACACATACTTTTACACTTTCACATACACTTTAACTCCCCACACTTAGACACTTTCACTCACCCACACTTGTACACTTCAACTCACCCACACTTGTACACTTTAACTCACACACACGTTTTTATACCCCAAGCAAGTTATTGAAGAGGGGATGCTGACCTGATAGCCACATTCGCAAGGAAAGAGGCCCCTGTCAGTCTCATCGAGCGCTTCGAGACACAGAGGACAGGTGGCTTCCTCGTCTTGCGATTCGGATGAGCTGGAAGCCAGGCTGGCAGTGCTATTGCGGCGAGCCACAAGAGGGGGCCCCCCCTGTGGGTGGGCTCTGCTACTGCTGCGAGAAGCCACGACTTCCCCAGCAGCGCGACGTCCGTGATCACCGCTTGGATTCGAAGAGGCGCTGCTGCCAGCGTCCGCTGCTATAGCCGAGCCAGAGGGGCCTCCATAAAATCCTCTCCTGCTGCTTTCCAGCCGATCGATGCTTCCAGTGCCTGCAGCAGCTGCGCGTTTGCCGCGCCCTCTGTCTGCAGCATCCCACGGCTCGATGCTGTGGCTGCGCGCTACGCTGCCCCTGAGAAGAGCATTTGAATCCTGCGAGGTGCCAGGGGGCCCACTGGCACCAGCCGAGGCGGTGATAGATGCATCTCTTCTTGGCGCATCAGCTGCGCGGCTTTTCGTTTCACGTTGATGGGAGGGCATGACCACACTCCAGGACCAAGGACTGCAGAGTGTGTCTACTACACGCTTCAAATGCAAATTCCTGACGCCTGCACCAGCAGCAAGCCTTCAGATCCCCCACCGCGGGTTCCAGAGCTCTTGCATACTGATCAAGAGACGGGCGAAACAAGACGCAGAAGGCGTAGGGTGAGGACGCTGGCAGCAAATCGCAGAGGCGTACGAGAAGGGGCCCTCCAATCTCCTCCGCGCACGCGCATGCAGGGCCAAAGGAGGCCCCAGCCCGCTTTCTAGCCAGTTCTCACAAGCGCGTGAAATGCCGACAGGCAGCAGAACGCGGTCCTGCGATGCCCAAAGTAAGGGAAGCGCACAGGGGATGCCAAGGCGAAGATGCGGGGGAAGGGAGAACCGTCCTACGACTGTAGGCAGCAGGAGCCACCGAGAGGCGCAACAACTCGCAGATGTGTCAGCGTCTTATGAGGACGCTTTAATGCCGCGGCCGTCCACACGGTAGTGTCACAGTGCTCCCTTGAGTAGGTAAGAGTCCAGCAGGACGAGAGGAGCGCAGGCTGAGGGGGCCAAGTCGGGGGCTTCTCGCTTTCACGTTTGGGGTGCCAAAGAAGATCTAAATTGACTTGGGAGAAGAAACTAGACCCTCAGAAAAGCGAGAAGACGCATGCAGAGCAACGCAGCTCCAGAGGGCAGAGCCGACGTCAAACACCCCAGCGAGCGGCAAGAGCAGCGGGGGCTTCTAAAGCCTGGGACTCGCGTAGCTGTAAATTGTGAGCAGAGGGATTTGGAATGGGAAGGTCTATAGGAACAAGCGCAGCGGCTGTCGTGCTGCGGTCGCTTCTGGTGTTGCTACGGCAGACAGCGGAAGTGGGGGGGCGTGAGTAAAGAGGGAGATGTGATTTCTGCGGGTGCTTGTAGAAATACGAATAATCAAATCCGAGTCTCGATCACTAGAGCCATTTATGTGTCCACAGAGGGCAGCAGCAGCAGCAGCTTCCTGAGGCCGGGACCCTCTCATCAGTTGTGTTGCTCGGGGTTAGGAGCGCCAGGCGAAGTGGGAGAGCCCCCTGCGCCTACTGGAATCGCTTGGTGGAGAATTTGTGATATCTCCACGACTATCTTTTTCTCATCTGCCGACCCACGCGAAAGAATGAGTGGCGCTAATCGGTCGACTTTAACTATGTACCCCACCGTACAGCCGCGGGCGATTAGATTCTGCTGTACGCTTGCAATATGCTTCTGGACACCGCGCTTAAGCAGAGCCAGGGGTAGGTACAGCCCCAGGAGACCATGTTTCACCGTCTAATAAACTTTGAATCGTGTGTACCTACTGGTCGTTGTGGTCACTTGTAGCGTCCTCTAGCCTCTTCACGCCCGACGCTGAATGCTTGCGTTACGAAAAGGCCTCCCCAAAAGATATTGCGAACGCAGCAGCAAGGACCTGATGCCCTCGAAATCACATGGAGGATTCCCTTGAGTAACCGGCGTGTACCTTCCCGAGCTGCTCTCATGGCCGCAGACTCGCAATACAGGGGCGCAGCACTGAGCGCACATCTGCAGATAATGGAGTACCCACTTGCAGGAACGTCAGCTGCATGCGCACAATGTATCCAAGCTTCATGGCTTAGTAATGATATCCACCCTGGATAGTTGCTGGTAACCGCGGCTATAGAGAACAGAGCCCAGGCTGTAGCGGGCTCAGTTATACTTAGCTACCATTTCTCTTAAACTATTTGTATATCGCTAAGAATTAGTTTTAAATTGAATACTGGTTTTATTTTTAGATATCTTATTCATAGGGATTGAGCGTGCGCTCTATACAAAAAATCGAAAGGTTGTGTGTGTGTGCACTAGATCTTTGGCGCAACTAGCTCAAAATGCTCGGATTGATTAGAGATGGTAACAGACATCCTACCCGTCCCTCTCCTTTCATGTCTAAAGACTGAGGAACTCGAGAAGGGGAAGGAGGGAGCTCTTTTGAAGGAACACTACACGACTTTTTATTAGGTCTCATTGAGTCCTCTCCCGCCCCAGACAACGACGCGTTTTAGAGATGTTTGACCCCAGACTCGATTAAAAAGGTCATGGTAAGGTACTGAGTAAGTACCAAAAGAACTCACTCCCATTTGTGCCCGCACCTCTCAGTTGCCGACAAGAGGCGAGAGGGGCAGCTAGCGTCTGGGTAGCTCCACCCTCTACGCACTCTCAGCATTCACAGCTAAATGCACACAGCATCGAGCGCATACGCACGCAGCGCGCATTTTTGCATTGAGCCCAAAATTATGCGATAAAGACGATGTACGAACAGCTAAAGGCCAATTCTGTACGAATTCTTGCCTAAACTATCTACTGTAGTACAAAGTGATTTAGTGTAGCTTCGCCTGATACATCTTCCACCCAGCGCTTAAAGCACATTCCCACGTAATCCGCATCTGCACTTCCAGACCAAATGCGTGCAGGGCAGCTGAAGAGTTCCTGCCTCGGCGTCAACACTCAGCCAGGCAGAGAGATGAAAACACAGTGCAAATGAGAAAACAAGCCCTGCAACCAGCGTAAAAGTGAAAGCTAAGGAAGTAAAAACAAACCGGTAAGCTAAAAACAAACAAGGAACCAAGCCAACACGACAGCGACAGCGCATTGGTGGCTGTCTTCCAAAGAAAAATGTCCTGGCCTCCCACGAGAAAACAGGTACAAGAAGACTGAGTGAAGGAAACAAAATCACACACTTGTGCAGCAGTGCGAGTCTGCAGCGTTGTCTTTCATCGAGCAATCCCTGCAAGCCAACGTAGCGGCCACGTGCAGCGTATTTGATTTAAAGCCCCTGACGAGGCAAAAGAGAGAATGCAGGGTCACATACCTGAGAGTTTCTCCGCGTATACCTGTGCCTAAGGAGCACTTTAACAAAAATAGCCCAAAGCGCTTAAGTCATATCCGTTAATTGAGGTAAGGTTTGCAGCCAGAACATGCGCTGGCTAAGGACGAATACCAAGGAACTCCAGGAATATTGGTCATGCGTACCGGCATTGTTAACCAAACAGAGCCGCGAATTTCTGCAGCACGCAACGAAATCTGCGAATAATTTTGGCCACATCCACGCAATTGCACTACAGTTTTGTCTAGTGTATCCTCGGAGGCCGGGATCAGGTGAACTTTGCCGCATTAGTTGGTGGCAACCTGGGCGTGACAGTGCACACTCCTGTGCCGCAGGACTCAGCCCAGACCACCACAAAATCCCTGCGTGGTTTTTTTTATTGTGAATTTGATCATTACTCGAAAAGTTACGATCCTGTACATTGTGCAAAACGGCAATGCGAGGCGAAGCGGCAATGGCCAGACGACAGTGTCCCCGCTTTGTATTAAATCACAGCAGACCATTCTCGGAATCGTAGTGCTTCACACTGCTTCAGCTCTTCTGGGTTTTGGAGATATTAGCCGGAGCATACTTGTCAAAAACAAGGGACGCAGGCAGGTTCGATAGAAACCGTAACTTATCGTAGACAAACGCTGTTGCGCTGCACAAAAATGAAGCACTGGGGGGCCCGCGAGAGCGCGTAGATGAAACGTTGATAATTCCATGATATACCTCGTTGCAAAGTCACTCTGCACTAAGCGTTCTTGTTACTGAAGCACTCTGGCTTCACCAAGTGCTGAAAACTCGGTGGTGTACATCAATGGGTGAAGATCGATTTGGACAGTAAAATGATTCCCATGTGCCAGCATTTCCACGTCCCGTTACGTCGCGCTTAGGCCTTTGTCTGGGTATGGCTACTTGGTTTCGGCGAAGCGATCAGGAAAACACGCGACAATTTGATGCTTAGAAGAAGTTCTAATGTGGGGGACAGAAAAGAACCCACCGCTTATTCACCTGCTTCGATTGTTAGCAAGAGCTGGCCCTCTTACCGAGCCAGTACTAGTGCCATATAAGGCTAAGTTGGCCGATTAGATTTCATGTTGCAGCTCTGTCCATGGCATCGCCTGTGTCTTCTCAAGTAGGTCAATTAAGGGAGCATCAGTCAGAGCAAATTCAAGACTGAAGTATCGCTAAGAAGATGCATGCCTATAGAGCTTCTCAACACCCTTGGAAAAACGTGAAAATAAAGGCCACACCTTGATTGATCCAAATTGTGCCGGATCTGGCTTGATTCATGCAACAGAAGCCCGGAATTCCAAAAGCATGGCTGTTCTCATGAGCAGCGAACATTTGCTCGCCTTCATCTAGCACTGCTTGTCTCGCAACAGCTGGAGCGCATGCCATATGTACTCTCGTGCGCTTGCACATCTTAGGATAATACTAAGCTGCCCTTTATTTGAAGAATCATTGACTGCTTGTCGAGAAGCTGATGAAAAACCCGATAATGTTCTGGTGCAGTTCACATGGGACAGAAAGAAGCTCAAACAGCACATAGTTGCAATTGAGTTTGCAAGTGCAAGTGTAGAATGCCGTTTTGTGTCTGTCGAAACACAAAAAATGGGGATCTCTCGAAAGGCAGCTATTGCGTCGAATGTCAAACACACTGTTAATACGAGTAGTCTGTCAAGTATGTGAACAGTGTGAGGCGTTAGAAAGTTGCACTTAGACATGAGCTTCCTCAGGAACTCAAAAGCATGCAGAGGTGCCATCGCCTATCGTTTTGGGGGGACAAACACTAGGCTGTCCCCAAAGGCACTTGTCAACTCCTGAACTTTGCCTTTCTACACATCGTCCACCTGCCACACATATACCCTTAATGCTATAGGGACTTGCATTAATGCGGAGCATAGCTTGGGGCTCATCCCAGGATTACCTCAGTACGACGCGTTGGAAGATCAGCAGGTAGCCCGCCTGCTGGAAGCCCGTGATTACTCAGCATCTCCGCAAGCTCCTTGATATGGGCTTATTCCCCCTATTTCTCTGCCACAAGTTAAACACAAGTTTTTGGCAAGGAGTTGGTTTACAGAGTCAGGAAGACGATATTTATGCTCAGAACCGTATCATCGTGCTGCGCTCTCACCCGCCCGCATCTAGATTCTGTGCTACCTTGTTGAGATACCGACTGAACGCCACTGAGCACATACAAAACGGATGTTGCCGAGGGAATCAGGATTTGTTCTTTCCAGATTTTCTGCCGAGCTATTTTTCAAAGCAAAAAGCTGTGGATGTAGGAGCCCCTATCGCTGGGTTCACCCAGGGCATACCTACAACTGCGTTGTGGTGCACATGCACTATGCAAAGAGCACGTACCATTCTAACAGGACCCATCTGCTATTTGGCGTGGTATATTAATGTATAAGACTTGCCAATTCTTGCATCCTGCCTCCTCTCAGCAAACTTGACTCATACTGACTGCTCTAACAAGTGAACAGGCAGGTTGCACCTCTGCAGTTTCCATATAACAGGTCCACCTCACATCAGTGTCAAGAAATGTTAGCATTTCTAGGCAGTAAATGTAAGCTTGTAGCAACGCAGAAATTGGTTCCCGTCGGCCCCCCAACTCAGCTTTCCTCTGTAGCTGCTTATCTGCGCCGCAGCTTTGTGTGGGGGCTTTCCGTTTTCCAGCTGCGTCTTCTTTGCTTGCCCAGAGGACTGCTCCCGCTAGGTTCAGTCCAGTTGTTCAAGTTCTTTTGCCTTTGCTATGCGTTCGCAGCTCTCGATTATTCGACTAATTCTCGCACAAAAGCGCATGCGTTGGGGGGGTGGGTGGCAGAGCTGCTTGAGAGCGGGAATCCCTGCTGGTTTCCGTTTGTCTTTTGCTCAGACTACATGCTAGGACCGGCTAGGACCGGTTGGCACAGCCCCACCATACATAGCCTCTAAATTCCAGCTTGAGCCTTTTTTTCATACATAGGCGCATGAGTTGGGCGCATTCGCTTCTGGGGCCTCAAGTAGCATGTGTTTTGCAAAAGCTCTAGTGGTCGGTTGATTATTCATTGTAGCGCAGCCGCTTGGGACCCCTCGATGTTAAAGTTCACGGAAGCATGAGACAACCTACTAATAAAGCTTTTGCTTGTATACGTTGTGGCTTCTGCTAACCGAAGTTTCAGGATCATCGGTATACAGATCTATTGGTAGGTTGCTTCCTTCAGTCTTCGTATTTCTCCCTCTTGGGCCGATCGCGGCATGTGATGATCATTCTAGGCTTGTATGAATCCTTGAGCTGTAGTAATCCCTGATGCCAGACAGCTTCTTCTGCTTGGATAGAGCTATAATTGAAGTACTTCGCCCTCCTATTGACATACCACAAGCAACGTCCGTCTTTCTTTCCCTAAAGGCTAAGAAACGAGGTGTATGTTTAACCGGCTATAAAATCTTCTAATATTTGATAACCTATAGGATCCCCATGTTGTTCTGGCCAACATAACCTTTGCAACATATTCATGCCTATTTTCGGATGCCAGATCATACCTTCCTTGTAGCTGTTGAGCCACTGAGTTCACTTCAGCACGCGGACCGGTGTTTTCTGCCCAAATAAGCGTTGTGCCGCCGTCTCCTTTTATCCCCTTTTCCCTAGACTGTTGCCAAAAAACTTGTCAAGTAGCCAAGTAGCTTTATCGAAATTAGATAACTTTTGTAGTATAATCGGACATCTCATTGCATCCACCGCAAGTTGATCAGTGAAGAGCAGCTGTATATGGCCATGCGGTGCTACCGACTGTAACGCTTTATCTAAGCTCTCCATACGCAAGCACGTTGCTCCAGACTCCATACACAGTTTGTAAACACACTTGAACGCTTTCAAGAAAACATCCTCCTTCCCCGACCCTAGACTCTTAAAGTTCCAATATGAGGGCAGAGAGGCACCTAGAATGTGTGGAGCTGCACCCTCTAAAGCTTCTTAGCATTCACATCTAACTGTACGTAGCATCTAGAGCACATGTACACAGCGTTGCCTCTGCTTGTAATTAGTCAAATTACTCTGCAATTGATCAGGTTTGTGAGCGGTCAATCCAATCAGTAACTTCTATACCAATTCTCAGCTAATGTAACTAGAATAGTACGAAGTGTTCAAGTGTGGCTCACCGCGCAGCTACACTCCCTCTTGCCTCATATCGGGGGTCGACGGGCGCGTGCAAGGAAGTGAGGGAGCACTTCAGAGAAGCGCTCACTGTCTACTAAGGTTGTAGTGAGCTTGAGGCTAAGGGTCGCTTTATAGAGACCTTAGAAAAAGAATTCCATGAAATGTAACACTACTGGCTGTGGTCGGGGCGGTGCCACCAGCAGCTTGTTCAGATTTACTTTCTTACGAATCCAGTGTCAACCCACTGCTGAGCTGGCGGCACACAAGCAAGCAGCTGGTGAGGGGATTCCTAGCGAAGGGGCCAGGAAAAGAGGAAAAAGCTCAAAGACTTCCCGCCATAGAGTCACCCAGACGCAGCGCCCATGTGGCCCCACTGTGCGCGGGTGCATTGCCGTGCAGAGCTCCTACCTCGACACAGTGAGAGCCTCCTCACACCAAGAGGAAGGGTGACTAATCGAATTAAATCCCTGTAATACTCAACGGCAAGGTGGGCAGCTGCGCGGGCAGCACGCACAACACTTGTTCCCAAGCAACAGCAGAAACAGCAGCGGAACGCCCCAGCAGGCAGGTAGTGAGTGTCCTTGACTAGGGCAAAAAAGGACCAGCCAAAGCGGCACCCATACACACACATACATACACACACATATATACACACACATATATACACACACATACATACACACACATACATACACACAGATACCACTAACAACCCCATACAAACACACTCGCGACGTATGGCACGCGTGCTTCCAGATGGGCGGACATCTTCTGCTGAACACGGTTTATCCCGCCTTGAAATCTAATGCGGCACAAAAAGAGAGATAATCTGGGAGCCAAAGAGACACTGCATGAAAAGACACACGTGAAAAATCCAGCACTCCGTTGCTCCCACCGACTTACCCGCGCACGCGGGGGAGAGCATCGGTTCCGCCCGCAGAGGGGCACGGGGGGCCCAACAGGCGGGTGCCTCGCATAAAGCAGCTAAAAATATCATTTTTTTGGCCTCCTTCAGGCTGTGAAGTGTTTCTTTCTCGCGAATAAAACGCCTTTGTTTTAGCAATTGCGACTGCATCCCGCCTTCCGGTGTATCGCCTTCCTACGGACCTTAGGGGCCCCGAGGAGGGCCCACGTGCCTTTTGCCGGCACTCTCCCTTTGGGCCTTGAGCGGCTCTCTGTAGAGGGCTGGAGAAACAGCATGGCGAGATGACTTAACCGTGTAGGTGCTCTCATCCGACCAGGCTGCTCGAGCACCGGTACCTCGTGCGTGGGGGGCAGTTTCCTTCCCAGTTGTTTGGCTTTTGGGGGTTGTGTTGCAGCCCTTTCTTTTCGAACCTTCGCCTTCGGCGTTTGCTCGTCTGCCTCCGCAACCCCCAGCGCTTCTGCCCCAGGGGGGCGTCTAAGCCTCTTCCCTTTCGCTTCGCCATGCGGCTTCAGATGCAGCTCCCCCAGCGCATGCGAGACATTCCACTGCCTGCCGTCACAGCTGTCTCTGTGCTTGCGGCAGCGGCGGGGGTTGCAGGCACTCTGCATCTTTCAGGGCGTCTCAGGGAATGCCGCGTCCTCTCTTTTGTGGGGGTAGGGGCCCTTCTGGGAGCCGCTGGGGTGTATGCGTGGGGCCTCACCGGGGAAGCCTCCCAGGCCTCACCCCGCTCCAGTGGCTCTAACAGGGCGCAGGAAGTCTTGGCTGGCGGCGGCTGTTCAGAGGAGCTCGAGACGGAGGACGGCTGCTGCGGCGGCAGCTGTGGCTGTGGGGGCCCCTCCGAGGGCCCCCTTGAAGGGCAAGCATGGGCCCTGGACCCTCCTGGAGAAGCCGCGGAAGCAGCAGCAGAAACGCAAGAAAAGGACGAAGATCTGGAGGATTTGAAAAGTGCGGGAGATGAAGAGAGCGGTTTAGGCCGCGCTCCAACACCTGCAGCGTACATACAGTCCAAAGCCGCGCGGCAACGGGCCCTTGCCCGGCGCATGCAGAGGCAGAGCAGTGAAGGTGGGGTCGTTGAACACTCTCTTTCTGAAGCGAATCCAACGCTCTTGGGGGCCGAAACAAGAGCCAATGATGAGCTCTTTCTCCCGGGGCGAGCGAGGGTCTACATGAAGACATTTGGATGCTCTCACAATGTGTCAGACTCGGAATACATGCGTAAGAAGCTGAGGAATCCCGTTAAAAGCTGAGCCTTTGGAAGCCGTGGAAGAATTCGGGAGGCGAAGAGTCGGTTGTGCGGGGAAGAGGAACGGGGAAGGGGGAGGAGGAGGAGACAGGGCTTTTGACGGGGGGCAGGGGGAGAGAGGGAAGTAGGAGAAGGGAATGAGGGGAGTGGGAGAAGGGAGAGAGAGGGGAGTGGGAGAAGGGGGAGAGAGGGGAGTGGGAGAAGGGGGAGAGAGGGGAGTGGGAGAAGGGGGAGAGAGGGGAGTGGGAGAAGGGGGAGAAAGCTTTTTGTCTTTTTCTGGAGGCCCCTCCTTTGAACCGTTTCGTATCCTGTCACGAGTCAGGCGAATTCGTGTGTTTGTATGGCTGCCACCATTGGGGTTCCTGGCTGTGTGGTTCGAGGAGAGTGTTTTTGTTTGGGGGCCTGTATCTTTTTCGGCGAATAATGTAGCGCGACAGCAGTACGCAAAAAACATTTACACGACCAACTGTGTCTTTTTTTTCACGTTGTGTGCTTGTTGCAGAGGGTTTGTTGCATGCCGCCGGCTATCAGTTCGTGGACAGCCTGGACGCTGCAGACATCTGCATCGTGAATTCGTGCACCGTGAAGAGCCCTTCCGAGTTTGCGCTGTACTCAGTCATTGAGGCAGCCCTCGGGAAGAAGGGCAGCGATTATGGCGGCTCTGATGCTCCCGGACGGACGTCATCTCGCGCGGCGAAGCGGCAGGGGGTAGCGAATACTGCAGCGAATACTGCAGCGAATACTGCAGTGGATACTGCAGCGAATACTGCAGCGGATACTGCAGCGAAGAATACTGAAGCGGATACTGAAGCGAAGAATACTGCGGTGAAGAATACTGCGGTGAAGAATACTGAAGCGAAGAATACTGCAGCGAAGAATACTGAAGCGAAGAATACTGCAGCGAAGAATACTGCAGCGAAGAATACTGCGTCTTTAGGAGAGCCTCCGTTTGCTGGACATGGAGTGGAAGGGGGCCCCCCGAGCAACCAGGGCCTGGGAGCTTCTGAGGGGGCCTCCGTGGGCCCCGTAGGCGCTGAAGCGGTGCAGCAGGGGGCACAGTCGTTGATGCAGCCTCAGGTTCCTGGAAGGCGTATTCCGTGTGTAGTGGCAGGTTGCGTGCCAGGTGGTGTTGGATCGGGGGCACGCGGCTCTCGAGCTAAAGACGGGGCCTCGTCATGGCAAGACGCGCTGCTGTCGGAGTGCTCGGTTGTGGGAGTCTCTCGCATCAGCCGTATTGTGGAGGTCGTTGAGGAGACGTTGCAGGGCCGCATTGTGCGGCTAACCGGCGGGAAGGGGTTCGTGTGCTGCCCCTCTGTTTAGCTTTAGAGGAAAAAAAAACTTGCGCGCCTTCCTAGGCCCTCCTAGATGCTCTTTTTCTCCCTTTCTTTCTCCCTCGAGGCGCAAAGAACGGCAGGAGCTGTCTCGGGTAGCCGCGTAGACTTCACGCGGCTGCTTTGCAGGCCATGCGCGCTGCGTCTGGGTGTCTGGGAGGCTTCTACAAAATTTAGGCAGCGGTGTTAGAGGAGCGTGTTTCAGGGGCCCTTAAACGGTAGTTCCGACGGGTGCAAAGACGACTTCTTCTCTTGCTGCTGCAGGCTGCCGCCCCTCGACTTGCCTAAGATTCGGCGAAACCGACTCGTAGAAATTGTGCCAATCAGCACGGGGTGCCTTGGTAACTGTACGTACTGCAAGACCAAGCACGCGAGGTGCGTAGCGTATGCTTGGCTCAAGCAGCACACGGCGGCTGGGGAGTGAGAGAGTGCTGCCCGTAGGGGCTCCTTGCCTTTTTCGATATGCGCAGTAGCTGCTGGCCTCATTTTTTCTGGATCGTCTCTTTCTAAGAAGCTGCATGCGTACCGGGTGTGCCCGCAGCCTTTGTAGATATTTACGGCAGTGTTTCATCATCCGTTTGGCTAGCTTCTCCTTGGCGCCCTCTTCTCCCGGTAGAGAGAGGCTGCTACTCTGCCTGTCTGTTACTCTCTCTATCTGCTACACTGCCTGTCTGCTACTCTGCCTGTCTGTTACTCTGTCTGTCTGGTACTCTGTTTGTCTGCTACTTTGTCTGTCTGCTAGGCTCGCTGCAGGGGAAACCCGTTTTTCGGGTGCGCTTCTCATGTGTCTTATTTTTGGAGTGTCTGCTGGTTTAGGGGGGAGCTGGGAAGCTACCCGGAGGAGGTCATTGAGGCTCGGATCCGCAGCGCTATTCAGGAGGGGGTGACGCAGATCTGGCTGACTAGCGAAGACACCGGTAGGCTGCCAGCGCTGGCCTCCACCTGGGATGCGGGAGATCCGATAAGATCCAACAGGGACGTTAAGCGCCTCCTCGAGACATGTCGTAAAGGCCACGTCTCGACTCAGCAGCACATGCATTTGTGTTGCTTGCTGCGGGGATCCGTGCTGTAATACATTGGCAAGAGGCCAAAATTTGAGGGCCGCTTGTTTTTTTCTCGCTTCCTAGCAAAGTCGCACTGGTGTGCAGCCAGACGTCCACGTGCAGTGCGCAAAGTTCTGCGTGGCACTCGTGCTGTGCTGTCGTTGGTATGTTGTCTGCGGGGGGTGCTCTCAGGCGCCTATGGTCTGGATATAGGGAGCAGCTTGACGCAGTTGCTGAAGCGTCTGCTGAGCTTGCCCTTGAGAGAGGAGGTGATGCTGCGTGTAGGAATGGGGAATCCACCCTTTCTGCTAAGCCAGCTAGCGGCTGCAACCGAACTGCTGGGGCATCCGAATCTCTTTGAGTTCTTGCAGCTGCCGGTACAGTCCGGCAGCAATCGCGTCCTCAGTCGCATGGTCCGTGCACAGGCCCACCTTCCTTTCTCCCCCACGCATTTTTAGGCTAGCCCCTTTGGTAGTTAGTACGGGTAGTACGAGGAAGGGTACTCTACTGCATTTATGCTGCTGCATATAAGGCACCCCTAGCCCTTTTGATGAGAGGGCTTTTTCTTTGCCAGCTTCGAGGGGGCCGGCAGCGTACGCCACGCGCCTTCGACGTGGGGCTGTAAAGGACCGTCATCTCAGCAAGAAGCGCAGAGTCACGCCTACCCTGAGTTGGGGAGAGGCACGCCACACACATGCATGGGCCTGCCCCCTCTTTGCCTGTCTGTGGTGTATGGTCTTGCGCGGAGATGGTGTTCAAATAGAGGCAGCCGCTTTTGTGTGCGTCCGTGTGTGTATTTCATGTGCGGGCAGTGGGGAGAAAAAGATACTCAAGGGCGAGAGCGGCGCGGTGCTTTCTATAGAGGCGTATGCGCATGCAGCATGTGAGCGTGCGTAGCATGTGCCTCCACTGTTTCTGCGTGCAGAGGAGAGACTATACAGCGGAGCAGTTTAGGACAGTAGTCGATGCCTGTCTTAAGGCGCACCCACGAATGAGCATCATGACGGACGTGATATGCGGATTTCCTGGCGAGACGGAGGAGGACCATCAGCAGACGTTGCAGCTGCTCAAAGAATACAAATTTCCAGTGCGTCTCTTAGACCTCTGCGGGCGTGGCATTGTGGCTTGCATCCAAGGTCCAACGCTCCGAGATGCACAGAGCATCGTGCCATCCCTTCGCCCCTAGGGTGCTTCTGAGAGTTACCCGGAAGTCAACCCTTGTAGAAAGAAGGCCACGAAATGCCTGCTGACAGACAAGGCCTCTGTCTCTCTCTGTCTCTCTATCTCTATGAGCGCCTCTCTTTAAGCGCATGAACAGAAGGCGCGTGCCTAGTGATCCCTGGCGATGACAATGCTATTGCACGCATGACACATGGCGCGTGGAGTATAAAATTGCCTTGCTCTAAGTGCTGCCGCTGCAAATCTCTTGGTGCCTTTGCGCGTTTTCCATAGGCCGTCAACATTAGCCAGTTCTATCCCCGACCAGGAACTCCCGCCGCCTCCATGAAACAGCTGCCTTCCCAAATTGTCAAGCGCCGGAGTCGGGAGGTCACACAGCTCTTCGAGTCCTATACATGCTATGACTGGATGGTTGGCACTGTCCAAAAGGTGAGTTTGCACTTTTTGGGAGCCTTTCTCCGAGCTGCGCATTGCGTTGCGGAGGATGTCTGCAAGGCATAGCAACCCTCGATAGGCAAACTCCGAGGCTGTTGTTAGAGAGAGCGAGACTTCGAAAGCGGCAGGCCCGTTGCAGAGCTCAGGCTGCACCTATTCCCCTGTCGAGCGCAACGGAGGCTGGATTTGTTTGTGCGCCATTTTCGGGTGCTCCTGGAGTATTTGTGTGCAATTGCATCCAGTGCAGGCCGCCGGACATTCACCATCTAAGAATGCACTGCCTTTTCACACTGCCGACTGTGTGTGTATATGTGTAGGTGTGCGCATGGGTGTATGTATGTCTGTCAGTGTATGTATGTCTGTCAGTGTATGTGCGTCTGTCAGTGTATGTATGTCGGTCAGTGTATGTATGTCTGTCAGTGTATGTATGTCTGTCAGTGTATGTATGTCTGTCAGTATATGTATGTCTGTCAGTGTATGTGCGTCTGTCAGTGTATGTATGTCTGTCAGTGTATGTATGTCTGTCAGTGTATGTATGCGTGTCTTTCCCATATGTGTGACAATATATATATATATATATATGTGCATGTATCTGCACTGTGTTGTGCAAGGTTGGTATGTAGCCGTGTGGTTATCGTGGGTTCTGGGTGTTGCAGGTATGGTTCTCGTCTAACTCAGACCGAAGCGATCACACAGTGGGGCACACGAAGCAATACGTCAAAGTCCTTGTTGGCAGGCGAGTTGCTTTGTGGCATTCGGCGTCTTGCGTTGGTGTTGTTGTACTTTGCAGCGCTCCCTCTCAGCGCTGGGCCCCTTGAGCCGTTGCGCGTGTCCCTTGCCGTAATGGCCTTTTCCGCCCTCATGGCCGTTCTCAGTCGTCTACGCGCATGTGTGTGTGCCTCGTTTGTGATCTCTGCCCTGCAAACACCTTGCGGTTAAAGGCCGGTGAGCCTCCTTTGGCTGTGTCGCTTGTGCAGAGATGACGCGCTGTTGGGGCGCGTCTGTTTTGTACGGGTGACGAGTGCCGCCAAGTGGCATTGCCTAGGGACTCTCTGTGAGCCTCCCACCGCGTGTGCACCCCCTTCCTCCGCTTCTCCCCCTAGTGACCTCACGTGATGAACTGCTCGCCCTCGTGTAGGCGGCATCGAGCCACGAATGCGGAGGGTGGCGCATAATAGGCTTCTCTTAGGACTCAGGGGTCAAGCGTATATAACCACCAGGACGCGCAAAATACAGAGACCGCACACGAGGAAAACAAAGGCCCATCGAGAGTCGAACTCCTTTCGACAAATTCCAATCTTCCATCGGGATGCACACTACACTGACACCACTACCACTACCACCTCCCCTTCTTTCTCCCTCCCCCGCGCCCCTTTCCCCCCTGCATCCTCCTTCCCATGCCAGAATATGACGGTGGCCTTATGCGGAGAAGGGTTGCCAACTGAGGCCTTTTCACGGAGTCTCTGGGGCACAGGCAAACAGCCGTTACTGCATCAAGGCAAGGCCTGAACTCGCACCACTGCTCCTATACAGCAGGAGTCCTAGAGCCTGGCATACGTTGACTGTATATTTAAGCACGAGAAAGCTTATTCCTCAGACTCGCTGCACAGCTTGAAGGGGATTTCAGAATGCGCTTAGAGCATGGCCCGGCCCCCTGCAGTGTTTCTAGCCACTAGGGCCCCCACCTACCTGCACGTCCGATGGAGCGTACTGCTCGTCATGCAAGAATCCTTGGATGCTCTTGAGACGCCAGGTCTGTGCAACAGACACTGGATGCTCTACTGGGGCTTCCGCAATAGCGGCTTTCTCAACGAGGGTCCCCTTAGTGTATATTCACAAAAGAGGCACCATCCACATGGTGGCCCCTGCTCGCACTGAAAAAAAGTAGCCAACATCCGCCAGTACGCTATAGTCTGTGCACCTTCTACTGCTCTAGATGCCTCATTCGGCAGGAGGCGCAAAAACACACGGGCTTTCTCCCCTTCTAGCAAAGCTCAAGGGCACCCCCCAATGCCCAATCCCCTACAGGTCGTTGATCGAAAAGTGGGTTTGAACTCGGTCGTTTGCACCTGTAATATCCGGCGCGTCAGTAGCAGTCACCGGGGGCTACAGTTGTCGCTGAATCAAGCGTTTGAAGAGCATCTAAAGCCGCTTATCAGAATTCCCTCGGAGGCGGCCTGCGACCACTTCCCGGCAGACGGAAGGACCTTTGATCTGCCTTCTTCGCGGCGCTCCCCTGATGTCTGTACCGTTGAGAGCAGGAAGCTTTTTATGCGGCAGACCCGTGAGGAAGGCGCGCGAGCATGAGGGTCTGGTCAGCATTGCAGCACGCCGCGGTGCAATGGTTAGCTTTTGGCGACCATTCAGCTAAGGGGTCCTGCTGCTACTCCCTGCGTTTTGCGCAGTCACCTATGCTGGATGTAGACCTGCATGTATCGTATTTGTACCCTCTTTAAATAGCTGTGCACCAGACAGAGTGCTGGCAGCACATAGGATGCCACACAGCACCTTACTCGTTTCGTGTGCGCCTAATGAATATATACATACACTAACATAAACCTCCTCCCCCCAGGGGGGCAGCGCGAGGCTGAAGAGGGCGTTTTCGCCCCCTCGTGGATCGCTCGAGGCGTAGGCTCAGCTAGCTACCAAGCCCCAGGGTCTTCTATAAGCCAATGCCAGTAGTTATCGTCGACAAGGCCCTCTTCCTCCTTCGCCGCGCTGTCTCCTTCTTCCCCTCCCTCTAGTCCTAGCGTCTGTGGGGTTCCGTCCTTCTGCCCGACGAGAAAAGCGGCCTTTTCCTCGTCTCCGAGGATGTGAGCAACCTCCGCGCTCTCCCCCCAGTCCTCCACCACCACAAGGGACAGGGGGCCCCCCGTCTCCTCTTCGAGAGCCAAGATGATCCGCAGATCTTCTAGGGAAAGCGACAGAACCTCAAGAGCCGTCGCCCCCTCGGGCCCCTCGAGGCCCCTTACCATCGCCTCGAAGAGGCCCCGCAAATGTCTGCGGTTATCCCCCCCTTCATCCACATGCGGCGCATTGTTCATGCCTTCCCCCGAGAGCTGCGCTTTTCCCGGAGTTATAAGGGTGTCGTAAAAGGCCTCTTCCAAAGAGTCCTCCCCCCCCACACGCTCCCACAACGAAGTTTCCAGGGCCTCTTCCCACTCCGCCTGCAGGATCCGCTGCTCGTGAAGAGGCACCGAGTCGAAGCTAACCTGCAAAGTTGCGGCAAGAGGGGCCCCCGCGGGCGCGTAGCTGCCCGTAGAGAAGAGCCCCGAGGCCTTTCTCTCCCGCATGACCTCCTCCGCATGCAGCGAAAACGCGAACTCCAAGGCTTCCAGCAGCACGTCTCTCTCCTCTGCCAGCCTCCTAGACGTGTCGCCCGCATCGTCGCCTCCTGCGGGGGCAAGTACCCATGTCATGACGGAGCTTTCCCCCTCCCCGACGGCAGCGCCTCTCGACCCCGCGACTGCAATGGAAGATGAGGCTCCCATCCACCCAGCACTCATAGCCACTTCTGACGGCGGTGCGCTAGGCCTTCCAAAGCGCCTGCCGCTAAACGCCAGTGCATCGAAGAAACCCTCAAGGGCCTCCTCAACGCTCGTCTCAAGCCCCCCCAGGACGAAACGCATGCTCGCTGTTGTTGCCTGATGGCCCCCCTCCCCTGCAGCCCCCTTCCTGCTCTTTTGCGGCTCTTCCTGGGAAGCTATCTCAGGATCCCTGCTGGGAACGTTGCCTTTCCCTCTGGCCGCTTCGGCAAGCCGAGCGCAAGTCAGCCGTCCTGTCAACGGCAGTGTAAAGACTCTAGGCTTAGGGCAAGCAGGAGGTGTCTCCGTAGAGGCTGCTGCTGCTCCGCTTACGCTGGAAGGCTGCAGTGGCAAGGAAGAGGCCTTGGGAGCTTCTAGCTCGCGTTTCGAGGGCGGCAAGCCATGGACTGCTGCTGGAGCTGAGCCTAAGAGACGCGCACTTGCAGAGCCTCGTCCGCCTTCTGCTTCGGCTGCAGAGGGCTGCTGCAAAGCAGCAAGGGACGGAATCTCGTACTGGAGCTGGTGTTGCTGCTGCTGCTGCTGAGCCGTGATGCTTTTGCCGCTTCGCCGCATAATATGCAACAGCAGCCACCGCTGCTGCTGCAGTAGCTGGCTATCCAGCAGGGCGCTTCCCGCCGCAGCAGCTGCCCACCTCCTTTTCTCAGCTGCCAAGGGATTCCTTGCGGGGCACGAGGGCCTTGCGCTAAATCCGGATATTTTCCAGGCTCTAGGGGGCTTCTGCGCATACAAGCCTCCCTCTTCTTCAAAGGCTTGCGCGTGCTGGGCATGCGGTTTTTGCGCAGCCCCCTCAATGTGGGGAGTATCGGAGGAGGGCCCCTGGAAAGCAGTGAGCGCGCCGAAGAACTCCTCACCAACCAAGTGCCCGCTGGCGAGCTGCAGGGTGCTCTTCTTCTTAAGGCCCTGGAAGCAGAGACAGGAGCAACAGTCGCGGAAGAAACAGCACACGTACGAGGATGCTGCGTCTCCGAAAGCTCTTAGAGTTAAGAGGATGTGAACACACATGCGTGAATGTCTGCCGGATAGAGCGGCCTTCAAAGCCGTCTCCGAGGAGGTGGCCTGCAGAATCAGCGACTGGGGGCACTGACGGGGTTGAAGACTCACCTCTCGCTCAGTCCTTTGAGAAAATGCGCGCTGGAGGGATGAGGAGGAGGTCTCGGCATCGTCTTCTGAAACCTCCCATTCTCGGTTGATGGCCTCTAGGAGCTGCAGCAGCCACACACGCCAGGACGGATGAAAACAGAGGAAATCCATCAGAGGGAGAAGCGCGAGGAAGGCATGTACAGCAGGCCACTGCGTGAGTCTAAGGGGATTGCACCCTCCAGGCTACCCCAGAAGCAGAAGGCTCCTTTACGACAGTTCGAAGTCTAGAAATACTCGCGGGGATTGGAGTGCTGCGGCCGGTGCAGGGAACCTGCCTCTGAAACGAAATCAGCGTCTTCGGAGTGACTCGCAAGGGCCCCCCAAGGTGCAGATATCACCAGGGAGGTCCAGAGCAGCAGTGAGGCCAAGGCCACATACAACCGAGGTGGCAAAGAGGGTCGGCGAGGAGGAGCCCTGTTGTTCAAGGAGGGTAAAGAGACCATTGAAATGGAAGTAGGGGGCCCTTCCTCGAGGCGATATCCTTACAAATCTTGGAGCTTCATTGACCCCAAACTGGGGTTTCCATGTGCGGCAAATGTTTTGCTGAACAGGCCTTGAACCCCGCAGTCCAACTAGAGCACCACGCCCTTCAAAGCCGTCGTTCCAAATGGAGGAGGAAGTGCAGTATGGCTGATAAGACGAAGGCAGAAGGCCTTCTTTAAAAACCTGACACCGACGAAGAGGCAACCAGGTAGGCCTCTTGATGCGGTAAAACTTAGGTAGGCGGTTCCTGGAGGGGCGGGGGCACAAGGGAGAAAGTAAAATGCAAAAAGTGGTTAGTGAGTTTCGAAGAGAGCTCGGAGGCGCTTGAATAAAAGGGAAGATTTCCTTTTCTAGAGGCGTGGCGATGGAGGGGAAGGAGTCCGTTGGTGGGTTACAAGTGACCTGCGTCCGAAAGAAATAGGAAGGACGTAAACTAAAGGTGTTTTCCCCCTTTAATTAGATCTTGAATCTTGATTTCTTTTGGATGGACGTCATATTTCGCGAGATCTGCTCTTGTTGAGCCCTGTGTTTCATGCTTGGTTCGACCAGTTGCATATACACCGCAGCTGTACGTCAGGCGGGTCGCTGAGTGGTCACTTGGTTCGCATGGAAGCATTTTATCTATTGTTCTTCAGCGATGGCTTTTTCTTTTTGGATGAAAGCCTTACACACGTGGCTCTCTCTCAAGCCTCAGTGGCGGCACTCTTTGCTCTAGGTGGCAGAGCACCATCCGCCGCAGAGGAGGCAACGGCAGTTAAGAGTTGCTATATCCACCCTTGGCACTTCCTTGAGTGCACGAAGTTTGCCAAATGAATGCTATCTGCTGACCTGCAGTAGTGGTTCTGCGATCAACTTGGCAGAAGATGCAGGAGATAATCTATGTATAGTACCGTTACACCCCAAACGGCTTTCTTAAAGTTAGGAACACCGGATGCTAGCTGAAAGGCCGCAGGGCATTGCATAGCAAACATTCATTGCTCTTTAAGAGAGATTAGATGCCTGGGAGCCGCTAATTGTGTCAGGGAGTTGTCCCACGTTGATCCCCTATCTTCCCCAGATAGTTAGTAGTTTTGCAGGCTGAAGGTCCGAGGCAGCTTTTATGGCAAGCGAAGCTATATTAAGGCACCTTATACCACACTAATTATATTTAGGTGAACATTAGTGAAAATTCGACTAGCTGGTTTGTCTGTTCGTATATATTCATGAGATTACTTATTGCAGATTAGCCTGCCATTCCAGTACACGAGGGTTCAGTGTTGTGCGCCTGAGTGCTGAATGCTGTGCGTAGCTAGCTGTAAATGATTGGCATGCTTAGAGGGTGCACCAGCACACATCCTAGCTGGCCCTCTCGCCTCATGCCGGGCCTCTAGAAGTTCAACAGCACTTTATCGAGTTTGCATGTAGTGTCTACTGAATTGTCTCCGTACGGAGACCTTACAAGTAGCTTTAAAGCGCAAGAGCTTGCGAGGCAAGGGCCAAAACTAGAGGGAGAAGGAGGAAGCGAGCCAGGGAGAGGAGAGAAGGGTCGGCAGGCACGGGATGGAGAGAGGGAGTGCAAAGAGGGTGCCTGCGTTTGCGGATTGGATATGAACACTGAGCGGTAGCGCACAGTAGCAAAAGACGTGGAGCTGCCACTACGCAACTTGCAAGTGTCTGTGAGGGCGACTCCCCAATTCCGTTTGGTACAGCCATGAGGGCAGTGAGTGACTAGAGGCCTTGCTGGGTGCATTCCAGCTGCAGAGCACAGAGAGGGGAACCGTTTGACGAGGCGGAGGCTTTCGCGACGTGCCAGCCAGTTCAGTTACAACGGCGTGTCCCTAAGCTAAAGTCCACTAGTGGCTTCTATCATGAGGCACACTGGCAGAAGCCCTCAACTAGGGACCTCCGAGACGGGATGAGATACACGGCCTCATGCCCCTCCCTGTGCTAATTCTACGAAGCAGTCACTAGGATGCGTCTGCGTGCTCTAGGAGCAGTTGAAGCTCCTCCTCGAGCGTTTCTGTGTGCCGTTTCGCGAAGGGGATAGGGCTGAACTTGGTGGCCCACGCAGCCTCCCTCCGCACCAGGTCCCTTAGTGGCGGTTCTACAGCCGTCTTCAAGGTCTCCTGAGGGTGCGCACAGGCTTCCGCGGCTGCCCCTGCCCAGTCCATTAGCGCAACGAGCGAGTAGGTGCACAGTCTCCACGCCGCCTCGCACGCTGGGAAGAGAGACAGCACTTTGCGGGCCTCGTCCGCCGTTTCTGCAGCGCGTGTGGCAGCGGTGCCTTCCGAAGACAGCTGCATGGCGATCCAAGAGGCTTCAAGCCGCCGCAAAGGATCTGCAGTCGAGCAGAAGACGCGCTGCTTCAGCAACTGCTGCAGCTCCAGAGAGAGCAAACGCAGCAGCTGGTGGCCCCCCGCAAAGTGCGAGGGGACCGTCTGGGCCGTGCGCTTCCAGAACTCCCATTCCATAGTCTTGACCTCAGCCAATAGGCGGGAGGCACTCGGGTTGCCGATGCTGTGAAGCAACTCTTCTGTATCCGCTAAAGCACTTGCCGGCGAAATGCTGCCTTGCGCGGAGGCAGTAGCCGCAGCTGCCGCAGCTGCCGCTGTTGTTTCGGCGAGGAAGAGCTGAAAGACGCGGTGGGCGTGTTCGGCCGCTGGGTAGCTGTGGCTTCGGGCCCTCAGATGCCATGTTGCGAGGGCGAGTTCTGACTGCAGCAGCAGCAGCAGCAGCAACTGCAGCAGCACCAGCGAATGCAGCGCGGGTTTGTCAGAGCCTTCCGGGGGGGGCAGGAGGGGCCCTTGGCAGCTCCCGTCCTGCCGCTGTGCCGCAAGGGCGAGCCATCGCGACTCCCTCTGTAGAGACGCCTCGGTGAGCAGGGCCTCTCGGATTTCTTCTGCCGCGCTCTCCATAGACTCTGGTACGCATGTAGTGTCTTCCGCTGGGGGCTTTAGGAGCAGAAGCAGGCACACCCGCAGCTGCTGCCGTCGGAGAGCCCACACCTCGGCAGCTTTAGGGTGCAGCATCAGAGGCAGCCGTGAGGCCCTTAGTTCCTCGAGCGCGCAGGCTACGGCTGCTGTGTAGACCTTACTCCTGGACGTTGTTGATGCTGCTTGTGCTTCCGCGGGGGTGGCATGCAGAAAACGAGGCTCTGAGCCACAGACTCCAGTAAAGGCCGCGTGAGACAGCAGCAGGCGCCTTTCTGTAGCTGCAACGGCCGTGTGGGCCCCCCCTGCTATTGTGAGGAGCAGGCGGGCAGAGCCAGTGGGGTCCAAGGGAAGAGACGAAGGGGGAGCTGCGGTGCTGGGTAAGGGCGCTCTTAGACAGCTCACCGCCCTTTGAGCCTCCGCATGCAATGCAAATAAGGCGCATTCACAGAGGCCCAAGACCAGGGCCCTTTCCGGTCGCTCCTCGCGCGTAGGGGCCCCCGCCGACTCCTGCGTCTCCTCCTCCTCGGGGGAACACACCACTCCGTAAAGGGTGCCTGAGGCGCTCAAGAGAGTCTCCGCTGCTTCTTGCGCCTTTGTCGCTGCCTCTGAAGGCACAAGAGGGCCTAGAGAAGTCTGACTGGCAGCTGACGAGGTGCAAGCCTTGGCCTCCAGCCGCAGCCACTCATCGAGCAGGGGGGGGCCGCCACCGGCCCCCTGGGAGTCTCCAAGGGGCCCCATTTCCAGGGGCCCCCGTAATCGATCCCAGGGGGAGGGGGCCCCTGCTGCGGGTGCGACTCCAGCTGCCGAGCACTCGGCGCCTCTCGGGGGAAAGAGGGCACAGAAGGCTTCGCAGCTCATTGCAGAGCATTCACAGACCCGGCAGGGAGGCGCAAGGAGTCGGCAAACGCATGCCGTAACCCACGATGGCAGAGGACGCGCATGACGATGAAGCTGTCCACTTGCACTCCCAGCTGCGGAAGGAGTGGCTTGCCAGTCCGCCTGAGGGGGCGACGCTTGCTGCGCTGGAGGCCCTTCTTGAGGCCGCATGCCGCCTGAGCCTACACTGTCAAGAGAGGCCTGTAGAAAGCTGCTCGCAGCCTCACACTGCCGCGAGCAGCGAGAAAATAGGGCCCTCGGCTGCACCGCCGACAACACCTTAGGAGGGGAGGGCCCTTGGGGAGGCGCGCGGAGTAGGCCTATGTCCAGTTACATAGCAACGACAATCGCACGGAAAAACAACAGCAAAAAGCTGAAGGAAGGAAGAGGCTTTGAAAAAATCGGCAATTTTTCACATCCGTGTGGAGGGGGGCCCCTCACCCCATCCCAGCCGGGGGGCCCCCCTCCCCCCTTTCGATCCCCCGGGGCCCTTGCCCTCTGGGGCCGTGCAGCACGAGCGCGTGGGGCTCTCTCTGTCTCGGGGTGTAGGGCCCCCCCCCTCTGTGTGCCTTCGTGCAAGGATCTCGAGGGTGTTTTTATAATTGTTTCTCAGAGGTGCCTTGGAAGAATCTCGCTTCTTCATTTTGCGAGCTCCCGCTGTCTCTCTCTCTGTGCAACCGCTCCGCACGGAGGCGCTAAGGAGGAGTCCACTGCCTCCGTGTTCCCCCACACCACCCACCTCCCTCCTACTGCTCGACTCCGAGCCTTGAGGCCCCCCTTAGGGGCCAAAGCCCTTCTCCTGCGCATACGCACTGTCTGCTGAGTCTCCGCAGAAGGAGAAGGCTGTGTAATTGCCGATCCCTCACAGAGGACGTCTTGAGCGCCCGCTGCCTGCAGCAACACACTACCCCCCAAGCCAGCAGTGTCTCTCCACACAGAGGGCCCCACCCCGAGCCGAGAGGAGGCGTCACCACCTCGTTGAGAGACCCCCCTGCTGTGTTTCATCCCAACCGCCTGCTTGACCTTAAAAGCCTCATGGGGAGAGGAGGGCAGACACTAACCCGCCAGGGAGGCGGCTTTCCGCTGCCACCACTCCTGCTGCTACTGCTGTGGCTACCCCTCGCCGTTTTCCAGGAACATGAGGGGGCCCTTGGATGGGCGCAAGGTAGCTCTTCGCGCTTCTTCGGATTCATTGGCATCCCAGGAGGCAAGCAGTCCTTCCCCCCCTCCCACACTCTCGATCCCTCTCCCTTTTTCCCCCGTCCCTCTCCTTTCCTCTCCCCTTCACCCCCCGACTCCCTCCTTCCCCTTCCCGCTCACATGCACACGTGCCTACACAAACACCTACGGAGACGCCCAGTCGCAAGCCACTCGTGCCCGCTGTATGCTCTTGTCTCGCTCCTGGCGTAGCGCAGACAGACGGAGAGATAAGAGGCCCACGCAGGTAGAAGGACAAATCTACACCGTTGTGGCACACGCGCTCTATTTTTTTTTTTGCCTCAGGCGGCCTTCGCGACTTCTTCTCGCGATCAAACATCCGAGGAGCTTCCAGCAGCAACCTCCACGGCACCTCAGGATCCACGAGAGGCTGCAGCAGGGGCGGGGGGCCCCTGGACGCCTCCTTCCTTGGAGGGGGGGGGCCCCTAGGCCGGGGCGGCTGGTATGGCTGCATGTGGAGAAACTTTCGAGAGGAGCGGTCCAGTGGATTTCCAAGGTCCCCTAGGGGCCCCCTTGCCCTTCAGGCTGCAGATGACGGCCTTGTTTTAGACGCCAGCGACTACACCGAAAAGGCGTGGGAGGCGATGGGGGCCCTTGGATCTATTGCCGATAAGCACGAATCGGCGTATGTCGAGGCCGAGATGCTGCTCCTAGGTGTGTCCTTTTTTCCAGAGAAGCTTAGCCCCTAGTACAGAAGGGAGTGCATGCAGATTAGGGCCTGCCTTCCAGGAGTTCATTTTTCCTGCTGCGCTTTTTCGCGTGGATTGCGAGAAAGCCGCAGTATTCGGGCTTGCACGGCGCTGGAAGGGACGCTGCAGTGGCGCGCAGCTGGTGGGCTGTGTTGGCTTGTCGCGTCTGAGAGGTGGTGCTGGCAGAGCCTCAGCGAAAGGCAGCGGGGAGGCAGGGGGCTAACATTCTTGGCACTACCTCGCGTAGCGTGTATGTGCATGCAGCCCTTCTCCAGGACGGCCCCGAGGGCCTGGCATACAGAGTGCTCACGCGGGCAGGAGTTTCCGTCGAGCAGCTCACGGATGAAGTTCAGAGGCATTTAGAGAGGCAGCCACGGATGGCTCTGGGGTTCGGCGACCAGAAGGTCTTGGGGAGAGGCCTCCAGCAAGTTCTTGCGTCGGCTCAGAGGTTCAAGAGGGAATTTAGAGTGAGGCTTCCTCTGCAGCGAGAGTGTGGTGCATACATGTGTGTGTATGTGAGACTTGGGGGCGAGGAAGTAGCGTGGAAGAAGTTTGATTCGGGAGCGTCCTGTGCAGGGTCGGTCGAGCATCCGCACCGTAGCGAGGCTTTGGCTTTGACAGGGCACACGCATTTCTTGGGAATTTCTCCGCGCGCTGTCAGCAGGCCCCTGCGGCGGGTGTGCTGGGGCACGTCTTACGGCGTCTGCTGTATGGTGAGTTCTTTTGAACTTTGTCAGGACGAGTACCTCTCCGTAGAGCATTTGCTGCTGGGGTTGGCGGCCGAGGACGCAAAGTTCCTTCGGCCTGCGCTGCAACGCCAAGGCGTAAGTTTTAACAAGATTAAGGATGCGGTAGTTGAAGTTCGCGGGAAGAAACGAGTGGACACGAAAAATCCCGAAATGGTGAGGTTCATTCTCATACCTTAACTGTCGCGGGAGGCTGCGCTTTCCCCCATCTATTACTTTTCTTATCACCCTTTCCTCCTGCTTCTCTTCCTTTCCTCCTTCTTATCTTCCTTTCCTCCTTTTTATCTTCCTTTCCTCCTTCTTCTCTTCCTTTCCTCCTGCTTCTCTTCCTTTCCTCCTTTTTATCTTCCTTTCCTCCTTCTTATCTCCCTCTTCCCCTTCTTATCTCCCTCTCCTCCTTCTTATCTTCCTTTCCTCCTTCTTATCTCCCTCTTCCCCTTCTTATCTCCCTCTTCTATAGGACAGACACGTTTGGATGTGCCTCCCCGGAAGCCCGAGATGCAAAAGCATCTCATGAGAAGAGGAAGCGGCAGCGTGTGCATCCCGATGCTCTTTAAAGGAAAAATCGCTGGGAATGCTGCATGTGGACGCGCTGATGTGTGTTGGCTGTCCCTTCTTTAGGCGTATCAAGCGTTGGAAAGGTATTCCAAGGACCTCACGAGCGAGGCTCGTGCAGGCAAGCTGGATCCGGTGATAGGAAGGGATGACGAGATTCGCCGCACGATCCAAATCCTCTCGAGACGAACCAAGAATAACCCGATTCTCCTTGGCGATCCTGGAGTTGGCAAAACGGCCATTGTGGAGGGACTCGCTCAACGGATCGTGTCGGGGGATGTTCCGGATTCGCTGAAAGGCAGACGTGTTCTCGCCTTGGACATGGGCGCTCTGGTAGCAGGTATGCATCGGTGGGTGGGTGTTTTTGTATATGTGTATGTGTGTTTTTCGGTATATGTATATGTGTGTTTATGTGTATGTGTATATGTGTGTTTTTCTGTACATGTACATGTGTGTTTATGTGTATGTGTATGTGTGCGTTTATGTGTATGTGTTTCTGTGTGTGTGTTTATGTGTATTCGTATGTGTATGTGTGTTTCTGTATGTGTAGATGTGTTTCTGTGTGTGTGTTTATGTGTGTTTGTGTGTATTCGTATGTGTATGTGTGTTTATGTGTATGTTTATGTATATGCACGTTTATGTATGTATATGTGTGTTTCTGTATGTGTGTGTGTATATGTGTACGTGATTGTGTGCATGCACGCATGCACACATAATGTGAATCCCATCATGCTGCGGCTCCCCCCTACTGCCTAGGTGTGCCTAAAGTACCTCTTTCTCTCCGTCTCTGTTTGTTCACGAGCTGTTCTGCTTCGCTTTTTGCTGCCCGTAAACACGAGCAGCAACACAAGCAGGAAGAGCCCGAAGCAGCTGGCTAGCCGTGTACCCAACCGAACCTGCCGGGAGGCGCGCGTTGGTTGGCGGGGAGGCGTAGCGAGGGGCAAACAGCAGCAGCTGCCGTATGTCGTTCTTCGCTTTCTCTCCTAGGCAGCACATGCGTTCGTGTCTGGGGTGGGGGTACTGTGTAATCAGGGTCAAAGTATCGCGGGGAGTTCGAGGAGCGTCTGAAGGCCGTCTTGAAGGACGTCCAAGACTCGGAAGGGGACGTCGTGCTCTTCATTGACGAGATTCACACGGTTGTCGGAGCGGGGGCCTCGTCTGAGGGTGCGATGGATGCGGGAAATTTACTCAAGGTAGGAGCTGCGGATTGGCGTCGTGTGCTGCCTTGCCTTCTCTTGCCCTCTTCCGTCTGTCTTTGACTCGAGGAAAGCCGGCTATTAGTACACAGGGGGGCTGCTGCAGATTTGAAAGCCGTTCGGAATTCGAGGCCTTCTCGATTTCGCTTTCTCCCTGCGTGGTGGCAAGAGAGAGAGAGGTCTGTAGGAGGAGTAGGAGGCGGGGGTGGGGTCTCTGCGTGCTGAGCGAACGCAGTGTATGCTAGGCATGTCTGCGGCATGCAACTCTGCCTTCGTTCCCTGCAGCCTCTGTTGGCTCGGGGGGAGCTGCGCTGTATTGGAGCCACGACAACGCAAGAATACCGGCAGCACATGGAAAAAGACAAGGCCCTCGAGCGCCGCTTCCAAAGAGTTCTTGTCCGTTGTCACAGAGTGGCAGCTGTCAAGGGCTGCTCGTAGACTCGCGGATTTCGCACAGAACGTCCCCCCTTCTCCCCTTCGTCAGGCAGCACAAAAAGGCTAAAGCAGGAGGTGTAGCTAGCTAACAGGACAGACAGCTGAGAGGAGCACTTCCCCTGCGTCTGCTGTGCTGCTTTCATGCCAGGTCGAGGAGCCTCAGGTCGAAGCTACGGTTAGCATCCTGAGGGGTCTCAAGGAGCGGTACGAGGTGCATCATGGCGTCCGCATTTTAGACTCAGCCCTTGTGGAAGCTGCCCACCTCGCAAGTCGTTACATAACGTATGCCAACGCCACTGCTGCTGCTGCTGCTGCTGCTTGTAGACGAACAAAGAGAGAAAGCCGCTCTCTGCTGGTCAATGCTGCCATTTCCGCCCTGTATTCTTCTTTGCCGCCGTCGCGGTCTCTTGCTGGAATCTCTACCCTCATGCACGCGTGTACTGCTGCTCGCAGAGATCGGTTCCTTCCGGACAAGGCAATCGATCTTGTCGACGAAGCCGCCGCACGTCTGAAGATCCAAGTCAGCAGCAAGCCCATCCAGCTCGATCGCATGGATCGCCTTTTGCTGCAACTCGAGATGGAGCGCATCTCGATTCTGGGAGATGGGAAGACAAGGGAGCTTGATGAACAAGAGCGTCTAAGGCTCAGGGCAGTAGAAAGCCAAATCGAGAAACTCCAAGCGCAACAGGTGACTTTTTTTACCCACAAAATGTTGACTGCTCTTCCTGCTAGGTCCTGCAAACTGCATCTCAGATGTCGGCCTTCCCGCGCCCTTCTATGTACTGGCTGCATTGTGCAAGTCGCATGTGCATCTAGCGGCAATGGTCTTTCCGCGCGAGTGCGGCGTCTGCCGTTATGTGTGTGTGTACGTGTGTACGTGTGTGTGTACGTGTCTCTCTCTCTTTCTCTATGTGTGTTGGTTTGGCCCTGCCATGCGTCTCCCACGCATCTTGTCAGGATTTTTGTGAACGTATTTCCGCGCGTGCTTCCCTGAATTCGTGTGCAGTTCTCCAGTTGCTTCCACGTGTTGGCTGGTGTATTGTTTGGATTGGTTGTTGAGCGTTTGCAAAAGCACATAGACGTGTGCTGCCCGCGTAGCTGCCTCCCATGGAAGGATGCGCTGGGGCTGCGGCTGTGAGACATGCGTGCATGCGACTTTGCGTGTGTCTTTTTCTGCTGTATGCGGGATGCTGCAGGCCACTCTGACAGACGCTTGGACCAAGGAGAAAAGTCAAGTAGATGCCATTAGGGCCGTCAAGGAGAGGATTGATGTCGTCAAGGTGGAAGTTGAAAAGGCAGAGAGAGACTTTGACCTCAACAGGGCTGCAGAGCTGCGCTTCGAAACTCTCCCTGACCTGGAGGTAATGCTTTCGTGCAGTACGTACAGCTTGCGGTGCTCTCTTCATGCAGCTGCTTAGAGGGCCTACCGGCTAGGAGGGCGAGGGGGCGACAGGTGGTGGAACTGTTGCAGTCAGTAGGGGTGTGCTCCTGCTGCGCTAGGAAGGAGGGCCCTATATATATACATATACATATATATACGTCAAGGAAGCGTGACGCTCCTCGAGCATTGTTGCCTATGGTGCACCCATGGCGCTCGTTCACCGCATTACATGAAGCCAACTGAGAATTGTCGAGACGTGTTTGCTTGCTGGCCAGCCGTGTCCGTGTCCGTGTACGTACACACGCTGATATATGTGTGTGAGTAATGTGTGTATGAATATGTTAACGTATGTGCAGGGTCGCCCTATATATATATATATGTATGCATGTATGTATGCGTACTAAAAGCATAATATATATACATATATACATGAATGTGTGTGTGTATGTGCTTGGGGGTGCTACAGCGGCAGCTCACCGAGGCGGAGAAACAGTATAAGGAGGCTCATGCAGAGGGTCGCCGGCTGCTGCGGGACGAAGTGACGGCGGATGACATTGCAGGGGTAGTTGCTGTGTGGACGGGCATACCGTTGACGCGTTTGAAGCAGTCGGAAAAGCAGAAGCTGTTGACGCTTGAAGACACGCTGCATGAGCGAGTCGTGGCACAGGACAAGGCGGTGTGTTTTCTGCGGCATGGCAGGTGTCATCCTGCTTCGATTGGCAACGTGTTTAACAGCCGGGCAGCACAGGGGGAAGAGAGAGGCTGGGGTGGGCTGGTATGGATTTGCCGCTTAGGATGACGGCGCTGCATGCATGGGAAGCCCACCACGCATGTTGTTGTGAGCCTTTTTCTTTCGCCACCCTTTCCTTGTCCTTGCAGGTAGCAGCCGTCGCCAATGCCATCCAGAGGTCGCGCGCTGGACTTAACGACCCCAACCGACCAATTGCGTCCCTCTTCTTCCTTGGTCCTACCGGCGTTGGGAAGACGGAGCTTTGCAGGGCCTTGGCAGAGTCTCTCTTTGCCTCAGGTACGCGCGAAGCGAGCTATTGAGGCTTTTTCTTTTTCGAGAGAGAGAGAGAGAGGCTCACATGTAGGGGGTGTCACGGGGAACTGGAAAGACGGCGGGCAAGAGAGTGTGTCTCTCCTTGTCGCTCCCTCTCTGCGTTGCTGGCCCTCTGCATGCACACTGCCTCTGACGCACTTCTCGCAAGATTTTCCGTTCTGTCTGAAGGCCTCATGAGGCCTCAGCAGGAGCAACGGCACCTCAGAGGCAGCAGCAGCAAACCCTCTAGGGTGTGGCAGACCGCAAGGGGGGAGGAGAACTGTGTGTGTCTGCCGCTTCCTCTGCGTGTGCATGCATGTCTGTAAATCTTCAGAAGATGCCATTGTACGGATCAACATGAGCGAATATATGGAGAGGCACAGCGTCTCGCGGCTCATAGGAGCTCCCCCTGGTTACATTGGCTTTGAGCAAGGGGGGCAGCTCACGGACGCGGTGCGCAAGAAGCCCTACTCAGTCATCCTCTTCGATGAAATGTAGGACTGCACACGCAAAACCATCATGAAGAATAGGGCCTTGAGAATCTGTCTTTCTCCGCACAGCCATGCAGGCCGTTTTGCGGAGAGGAGAGGGAGAGGGAGGGCAAGGGGGGAAAACGACACGCGTGTTACCGTTCTGTTGCCTATACCCCACCCCTCTAAGTGACGGCAGATCCACCTTTCTGGAGGGTAGCGCAGCAACATCAGTTTCTTGTTTGTCCCTTCTTCTCTCGCGCTTTAATGCGCGCACGTGGCAGCACGTACGCCTGTATGTATGTGCATGCATCTCTGCATTTATGGTATGAAGTGACTTTCACGCCACCCCGCTTTGCGCTCTGCGGCCTCTGTGTGTATGTCTGCATGCGTGGCTTCGGTACTCACCGCGTGCCTCTCTGCTCTCCCTGGGAGCGTGCTGGCTGAACCCTGCTTGTCGAAGGAGCGACCATTTACCCTTTATGCGTTTTCTGCTGCACATGTGGACGTCAGGGAAAAGGCACATCCGGAGATCTTCAATGTGTTGCTGCAACTCCTTGACGAGGGCCGCCTGACAGACGGCAAGGGCAACGCCGTCAACTTCAGGAACTGCGTTGTCATCTTTACGTCCAACTTGGGTGCTGATGCACTCTTGGAGAGTGCAGGAGACCCCAGCAAGAGACAAGAAGTCGAAAAGTCTGTAACACGCGCACAAACGCGCCCACAGTAGGGGTCCCCGTGGGTGTTGTTGTTACATGGCTGCTCGTGGAAGGATGCTGAAGGAGGAGGGGGGTTTGAAAGATTGAAAAGTTGAGAGGCGATGTTCATCGAGGCCTCCATCTGGAGGCCTGTATATACATATACACTTGCAGTTGGGTGTGTTGTGTTGTGCCGTGGGAAGCTGTTTTATTTTTTCACGAGCCGCTCCTCCTTAAAATGGTACATGCAGCTGTAATGATGTGGCTTGGATTCGCGTGCAAAGCATGCACACACGTCTGTTTGCACGCCTGAATGCCGAGGATGAAGCAAAAGAGGCCCTACGAAAAATGCAGGGATGCGCAAGCCAGAGCGCTCTCCTTCAGGAGGGCCCTTGTACGGCAATGACGCGGAAAAGGCGAATCTGAGGCCGATAAAAGGAGACCTTGCTGCGGGGCAGGGGGGCGTTAGGGCATGTGGGGGCGTTGGGGGGTGAAAGCGGCGTTTTTTGTGGTGTTTTGCTGGAAAGGGTATCTGAAGACGGGTTGCGTTTACCATGGATAAAACCCACACAAATGCTGCCGCGTGAGTCGCTGCATGTTGGTGGTTTGAGTGCTGCTGCCGTTGCTCCTGCGTGTGCCTTTCGTTTTTGAATCAGGAAGGTCATGCAGACGGCGCGGGATACACTGCGCCCCGAGTTTTACAATCGCATTGACGAGTTTGTCGTGTTTGATACCCTCACCATGCAACGTAAGGTGCTGGAAGGGCAGCGAGCCAAAATGGGATACAGCTTCCCCGCGTCTATCTGAAGATTTTTGCATGCCGAGAGGGGCAATGGCCACGCAGTTCTCCCTGCAAGCTGCGGGAGTGGAGAGGGGGCTTCGAGTGCTGCTCTGGCAGTGTGTGGTGGCTGTCGCTCTCTCTGCACTGAGCGGAGACGTGCATCTGCTGGTGGCCTTATGGTTCGATTTGCATGGACACGAAGAATTTCCATGATAATCCGTTCGTGCTTCTGCACGTTCACAGATTTGCATGCTTTGTCGATGGGGGGCGCCTTCTAGGTCGTAAAGCGTCTATCCGGTGTATCGGTGCGGGGCATGCGTCGAAGACGTCAGGAAGTTTTCCGCCATTGCGACACACGTAGGGCGCATTGTGCCTGTGATGGAAGCATTGGGAAGGGGTGGGGAGGTGTTCGGGGGTTTTCTTCTCAGAGATTAAGGAGGTCGTGCGCATTGAGATGGAACGTGTAGCGGATCGGCTGGCAGAGAAGAAGGTTAAGCTCAAAGTGGAAGAATCGGCGCTTACGCATTTAGCCGACACCGGGTTAGTTCGAAGGCTAATGAGAGGGCTGAAAAGCGCGAGCGCTCTACGAGTGCTACTGCGTTGTCGCCCACTGCATTTCCAGCTGTGCAGGCGCGTGCTGTGTCTCGCTGGCTGGGGGCGAGAAGGGGGGAGAAGGGAGTGGTGGCAGAACTCTCTGGTTGAATCGTAAAGCAGCACCTTACAAGGGCGGAAAAGGGGGGGAGGGGCCCCCTTCCAAGTGTGTTTTGGAATTCGAGGCGCTTCAGGCCTCCTCTCACCCCACAGCGCTAGCGTCAAGTGTGACACAGCGCATGCATGCATTGTATGCAGACAGTCCAGTTGCTTCAGTGTGATGGAGGGGCATGCGTGTGGACGTGTGTGTGCCGCGTGCCTTGCGCGTGCGTCTGGATGTGGTGGTGCGTATCTTGGTTGGGAGTCTACGCTTGCGTGTTTCTCTAACTTTTTTCCCTCGTTGCCTGCCCCGCACTGCTTTTCGCAGGTACGATCCGGCGTACGGAGCGCGGCCCCTCAAGCGGCTGATTCAGCGGTTGGTGGAAACACGCATTGCCCAGCTGCTGCTGCAAGGCGCCTTGCAGGAGCTCGACACCGTCACGCTGAAGAGCGAGAGCAACTCCCTCATCTTCCATGTTGTTTCCCACGAGACGGGCCTTGTCACCGAGTTCCCTGCAAGCACCACTCTGAATGCGCGCCACCTTCCCGCTGCTTCACCGTGCGCGAGCGCCGTGGAAGCCCCTAGCGGCAAGCCGTCGCAATCGTCTTCAGTCCCCGCTGCAGGGGGCAAGGCTGCGAAGGGAGCCGCTGCTCCCAAAGCCTCCTCGTCTCCTGCTGCGCCACAAGGCCCTCAGGCCATAGCCCAGCAGCCGCATGCGTTGGAAGGAACAGAGGAGCAGCCAGACAAAAACACACCCCCGGAGCTGCAAGGCGTTGCGCAGCCCGTCTCCCGCCCGCTCGCAACACCTGTGGCTAGCTCGCGCAAAGAAACGTAGCCTTTCAAAAGACAAGCGCTAGCCGGTCGCCTCACGCTGGCCTCGCTGCAACTTCTCTCGGTGCCTAGCTAGCCGAAGGCGGGAGGGCAGCGGCGCATATTTGCTTTTCTCGGCTGTAGGCTCAGCGCGTTCGATACGAACCCAGAACGCGCGGCAGAGCTCAGCGGGATCGGATGTTTACTCCCTCCTCCCTTCCCGTGCAGCTCGCTCTTCAGAGCGCTGCTGGACGGCGTCCTTGCAAAACGAGGGCGTTTCGACAGAACGAGCTAGCTAGCGACCTTTCCTGCGAGACGGGCTGCGCTACGCGGGCACTCGCCACCACGCGCAAGCAGCGCGCTAGCCTGTTTTGCGCGTCTCAAAAAGAGAGAAAGGGAGGGAGAAATGCTGCAGGAGGGGGAACGTCGGGGGGAGGAGCAGACCTGTCCCCTTCCTGCTAGCCGTTTCCCATGAGGACTCCGATGCCATTTGTAGACAAAAGTTGGGGTTATCTGTGGTGTCATGCGGGCACCCGCTGCTCTTGACTCTTTTCGTTGTTTTACACACTTAAGGCCATTGCTGTTAGCTCCCTGGGGAGCTCGCAATGCCCGCTAGGGAGAACTCGTGACCAACTCCGATAGAGCGAACAGAAGGCGAGTGCCTAAACGCATTTAGCGGCCACGCACTGTCTCACGCTACCTCGCCTCGGGAGCCTCCACCCGCAGCGCAACCCTTCCTTCCCGCTTCTTCCTCCCCTTCCCGTCCCCTTGCAAGCAGAACCCATGACGCGCTACGCCCTGCTTTTGGCTACACCTAAACTGCCGCTGCTGGTCTATGAGACCTTAGTAGGGCCTCCCCGTTCCGCAGAATAGCGGAGTGAGGAAGCCAAAAGACTTCAGTTCAGCAATAATCTGAAGCTGAAGCCTCCGTTCTCGGGGCGTCCGAGGGCACGAGCCGACGGCAGATGCTGCCCCCATTGCGATTTCTTTAGTCCCCATTCACGGCAGCAGAAACAAATCGCATGTCAGCCTTCAGTCAGCCACAGCTGCCGAGAGGCGCCACAGGCCACACAGGATGAGAGGAAGGAAGCAAGAGAACCCGTAAGGCTGTGTGTGATCTACGCAGCACCCGTGTTGAACGCAAGGAAGAGTCCGTCGTGCGCAAGCCGCACTTCTTGGATGCGACTCTCTCTCCCGTTCACTGCTCGATACATCTCTCTGTGTTGAGTCAACCACACCTGGAGGCGTCTATTGGTAAGGTTGTGCTCTAAACAACAATCCATTCCCACAAAAAGCAACCGTCGCGGCTGCAAGAGGACTCCAAGATCCAGCGCCTCCTGCAGCGAGAAATGCGCTGCATGCGGCCTCTCCCCTATGGCATCCACCACCATCACCTGCGTGCTCAAAAGACGCAACGCAGCCAGCACAACACGTGAAGGGGGCGCGAAAAGCGCAGGGCGATCCCCCCACTGGCAAACGCAATAACCGCAAAACGGGCAGGCAGAGGCGTCACCCGAGTCCACTCGGCAAAACAACAGAATGCTTGATCGCACCTCAGGCCTAGGAAGCTCGAGAAGACGCTGCAGCACTACCGCGGGGACCGCAGTCACATCCGAGAGAAGAAGGAATGGTTCCGCTCCCAAAGACATAAGGCCGAGGCAGACGTATGACCCCCCGTGATACACTGGGAAGGAGAAAATGGGTGTTCGTACACCTGCAGAGAGCCCCACACGCAAGCTGAGAGCGCACGAAGGCTTCTGCTGGCACAGCTAGCTGTAACACCCATGCCACGCAAGAGAAGGCCGGCAAGCAGCAAACAGACACCCGCAACGCAGTAAAAGAGACAGTAGTGGTAGCAGCCTCAGCGTGGCCTCTCCCGAAAAAATTTTCTAGAGCTCGCAAAACGCGAAGCACGCGCAAAAAATTCAGCAGGGGAGCACCACACTCAGCGCCGCTTTTGATTCTTTCTTACCCTGCAACTCCAAACGCGAGAACCCCCAATCGTCAACAACTCCCACCCTCACGGCAGCAGCAGCCGCTGCTGAGTCGTCGCACTGCTGCTGTTGCTGCTGCTGCAGGCCCTTCCCTGCGTTCGCTACTGCCGGAACTACGGTGTCTCTACACCCCAGAGGGCGCGGCACTCCTCCAGGGAGAGATGCAACTGCAGTTTGCATTGTTGCTGCCGCTGCGGCTGATACCTTTGCTGCAGCTTCCGCTGCAGCTGCAGGAGAAGCTGCAGACACCACCGTGTCATTCAGAATGTGAAAGTCTATGCACGCAACTTTACGCCTCAGCAGCAAGCGCCCCGTGTTCGTGAGCGCGAACTCCCCATCCTCCGTTTCCTTAACAATGCAATCGGATGCTTGACAAGCCGCCGCTGTTTGTGCTGCTGTTTGTGCTGTGACTTTGCTGCTGCCGCCGCTCCCGCGCTCTATGTAGGGGCGCAACAAGTAGGAGTAACTACGCGACACGGAAGCGAAAGTGCGTGCCCCCAGAAAGCAGCTAATCCATTCTTTCGGAGCATACCAGCGAGTGACTGCTCGCTCATCACGGGATCCTAAGGCTTCTCCGGCTGAAAGGCTGCGCAAGGTGAGGCGGTCGAAAGGTTGCATGTCTCGGAGATCGTCAAGGCCTCCCACAGCGTCCATGTGGTCGTGCGTAAGAAACACCGCATCTACGGAGCTTATCTGAGAAAAGGCAGAAAACAAAAACGGAGGTGTCAGCATGCAGCAGCACCCCCGTCACCTAGGCCTGGGGAGGGCATGGCGTACTATTACCACTCCGCGAAGCCGATCTTCCAACATCTCTCCCTCCCTCTCTCGCTGTCTCTTTCCCTCTCTGTGCTTTTTTAGTCCATCGCTCGCTGGCGGTGTGTATTGAAACGGCTGTGGCTCTCCAAGTCGAAAGCATGCAGCGAACGGAGCATTCGGAAACCCATCAAGTCACCTGAAAAGGGCAGCAAAATGATATGACTGAGTCTCTGAGCGTCTTCCCGCAGTCGATCAGAAGCCGTTTCTTCTCCACGGAGAGGAGCAGCGAGATGTTGCGCCTCCCATTGCGGTTGTTTGGATAGAGAAAGGCCTTGAGGCAGGTTGGGCAGGCAGCATTGCGAGCGTCCATTGCCTTCAACTCGAGATCTCTGAGATCCGAGGCGCTTAGGGTCGGTGTTTCATGTTCCCCTGTTGCAGCGTTTGTAGAGACGCCGTTGCATCCAGAGACTGCGGGATCGCTGGAGGCGCACAGCGCGGTCGGCTGTTTTGATGCAGCCTCGACCTGCAGCCGCTTGAGACGCTGTCTGTATTCAATGGCTTGCTGCTGCATCACGGGGAGAGCAGGTAGGACTGCCTCTCCGCGTGCAAAGCGGTAAAAGGGGTGGTGCGCGTCGGAGAACGCCAGCACGTGATTCAGCTGCGGAATCGAGGCCGAGCCTCCAGACCCCAAAAAGATCAAGCCAGATTCGACTCCACTGTTGCCGCTGATTGAGGGGTAAACTTCTTCAGGATCGGCGTCGCTGCTGTCGGCAGGAGGGACAGATCCATGTTCGCTGAGAAACCTGCAGACGTTTTCGTAGAGCGGGGAGACGCCCGCGACGTGATCTCTGTTTGAGAATTCCATTTTCCAGATAAACAACTACCGCGAAAGCTGCGGCTTTGTTGTTATCGTTGCTGCAGGTGATTTCTCCAGTAAGGGGGCTCTGGAAGCGCATACGCAGCAGGGGAGTGCAGGTTGCTGCTGCAACCACTGCTGTTGCTGGTGTGGGGTACCAACTGATAATGCCGTTGCAACTCTGTATCCCCGAACCCTAAGAAGCAGAGGTTGCAACAGCAGGGGGAAAAGCCGCTTCAAGCGTGGCAGCAGCGGCACCAACACCACGCGGAAAGGCAGGCGATAGAGGATGGAGCACTACCGGCACTCTGAGGCGCCGCTACCGGCGAAACGCGAAATGCCTAAAGCGAATTTCACCAAGTACAAGCGCGGGTAGAATACATTTGCAGCAGCAATGGAAGCAGCCGCAGCAGTTACCTGCGTGGCGGGCGTCTTGCAGGAGGCCTCACGCCTCACGCAGTCCAGCCGCAGCGGCTCGGTGAGCCTGGGTGTGTGATTTTGTGAGTGGCAGCAGCAGCCAGTAGTGAGGCAACTGCATGTCCTTGTAATACGACCTTTTCGAGATGCGCATCATCCGCTTACGAGAAACGATTGCAGCTGTCGGAGGAAGCAGCAGGTGTACATACACTGGACTTTATCGGCTGTCCCAACAGCAGCAGCAGCGGCGGCAACAGTCCGCCACCACGGCCGCTGCAGGGCTGCTTGTCTTTTGCTTTTTTCGTGAAAAGACAACTTATTTGGTTTTAAATTTATCGTTGTGACGACCTCCTTCGCGACGGACCTCCCAGGTCGCCGAATCCCGCTCCCACTTCTTCTCGGTAGACAACAACACCCAGTGGCACCGATAACTTGGGGGCCCTCAAGCCACTGACAGGGGCCCCCGGGGCCCCTCAAGCGACGCCTGGGAACGCTTGAAATGCTTTGGCTGCGGTCGCGCCAAGGGGACCGTAGAAGGGACGCATACAGCAGTGCGGTGGGGTCATCCGCATTTGCACACCTCCTAGCAGCGACACCGGTCGAAGCGAAGTGGCTACAGCAACAGAAGCATCGGGAGCATCAGAGCCCGTTGGCTTGGGAAGATGGAAGAGCTTAGGGGGGGCCTCGAAGAAAAAGGGCTCAAGCCTCCAGCCTTCAAGGCAGCTCACCAGGTGCGCCTAGTGTGTGGCATCGGGAGTATACGCGGCATTCGTGAAAGCTCTTGCTCCCACCTCTCTGAGTGTCCATCCACCTCTTTCTCGCTTTGTTCCTTCCTTGCGGCTCTCCTGGTGACGATTTGCGATGGTGATGGCAGTCTGTCTGGTCGCACCTGACCCCTCCCTCTCTCTCCGCCTAGAGCGCATGCCCGTTGGCTGCTCTGCCCCTCTATTTGTGCTGCCTGCAGCCTCTAGCAGCTGCGCTGCAGGATCTGCAGCACGAGCTTGCAGGGGTGATTCGTGCAAATCGATCTCTTACGGAGTCTCTCTCGAGGGCACGCCAGCGATTGCGCATATCCGAAGAGGGTCGGCTGCAACTCGCGGCAGATGTTTCGGTTCTCTGCACGCGTCTGCAGTCGACTCTTGCTGCCTTTGAAGAGAAGCACAAGGCGCTTCCTCCGCAGCCGTGCAGCAATGCAGAAGGGGTTGAGCAGTTGCTGCTGCTCGCCGACTTCCTGAGGCTCAAGCTGCACGTTGGGCTGCAGCAGCACTTGGACAGAGACAAGCGTGCAGCCGAGGCGTCGAATGGCGAAGGGGCCTCCGAAGAAAACTTTCCTGAAGCGCCACAAGTAGTGGAAGACGAACTCGTTCCCAAGGGGAACGCTTCACTTGCGCCAGCGGCAGAGCAGCAGGAGCAGCAGCCCCTTCCAGCCGAACGGCAAGATGAGCCGTACAATGAAGTCATGAGAGAAAATAAGCAGCTGCAGCAGCAGAACGACTTTTTAGCACAACAGGTGGCGAAGCTGCAGCAGCAGCAGCTGCTGCAGCAACAGCAGCTGCAACAGCTGCAGCAACAGCAACAGCGGCTGTTGCTGCCGTACGCGGAGAACGCCGCTTTTGGTAGTGCAACACAGCAGCGCATTCTGCCTGATGTGGCAGCCACGAATGGACTCGAGACGTCAAGTGTAGTCTCCGCTGAACCGTGGCGCTCTGCAGCCTCTGGTACTTCTGCTGCTCCGACGAGGCCCCTTGTGCAGCAGCAGCAGCAGAAGCCTCTAGCCCATGTGGATGTGCAAGGGGGCTCCGAATGGCTTGCTGGAAGCAGCAGCAACAGCAACAACAGCACGTTTCGCGAAACAACTCTGAGAGCGGCGCAAGGGTCGCTTGGCTCGTGGCAGCAGCAGCCGCTGCAGGAGGCCGCTTCTACTGCCCCCGACTCTAGGCGCAGGAGCTTCAACAAAGCCTCTCCTTCTACGCATGTGTCTGCTGGAGTACTGCCTATTGGATCGCCTATGGCCGCTCTCGACACGAGCAGCCGCAGGTGAGGAGCAGATCGATCGCCCACCCCTCTTAGGCCGCTCTTGGAACGCGAGGCTGACTGCTGCTGGTGCTCTGCTGCAGAGCCGCCTCGGCTTCTGTGCCTTGCCTATGGGCTACGCAGCATGCACTGGCGAACTGTTTTTGGTGCCCCTAAATTTGGTAGACAGCGCACGCCCTTGCAGTGCAGGTAGATTTTCCCTCTGGCCTCGACCTGCTGCTGTCTTCCTGATTATGTGTATGCGTGTATTGTGTGTATGCGTGTATTGTGTGTATGCGTGGATTTATCAGCTCCTCGTCTTACGATTCGGAGCTCTCCTCGTATCGCTCTTCAGAAGGAAGAGGCTCAACTACGGGCGTCCTCCCGCCTCCGCCTGTGCCCAGTCAGCTCAAGCGTCCTGCGTGTGTTCCTTGCATATCGACTTCTAAGGCAGGCACAGGCTCCTGGATGGGGGGCCTCAAGGAGCCTACAGAGTACCCGATCGGGAACTGAGGGGCCCCAGGGAAGCCCAGCCGCTTTTCACGGGGGCTTTGTAGAGGGGCGGGTGTAGAAGAGGGGGAGCCTATGGCTACACGTGGGGTCGCCATGTATGCAGCGCCACAAGCCAACACACGTGGGCTTGTCCACCTGGAAAAAAAAGGCTGCCCGCGCGTTGCTCCTGACCGCGTAGGCTTACTGCGATTAGGGCTCTAATAAGAGAAACTGCATAAAGCTCGTATTAGCAGGACAGATGCGCGAAAAAATAAGCCTAGGCAAAACTCGCGAGCTCTTGCAGAGGTGCCGAGACGCCTCTGCAAGAGCTGCAGGGGCTGTAAAAGGAAGAGGGAGTGGTGCGAGCTACTGTTTCTTTCCCCCCCCCTCCCCCCTCGCATGATATCCTTCAGTCTTCTCGAATCCTTCACTCTTCACGACCCGCAGATCTGGGCACGTCTTGGCGGGGGGCCCCACGGGGCCCCAAACCCCCTTTCGCGGCCGTCCAGGCTGGGTAGTTTCGCGCATGCTTATGTCTTAAGGCTACGCCCGTAGCCGCAGTTGAGAGTTTCATGGGGTGGCAACAATGCGCCCTTAACGCCCCAGAGAGGCGCCTTAAATCACGGATAACACCGAGTGACTACTGCTAGAGTGGGGGCCCTGGGAGACGCATCCGTAGCAAGCATACCGTCCCTACCCCTCCCTCTGTTCTGACATCACTGGCCTGACCTCACACGCCACCCGAGTCACCATGTCCATTTCTGGCTCTTGCATTACTCAAGTGTACCTCCGAGGCCTCGTTCCTCACCCTAGCCTTGTCGCTAGAAAGTGTTTGACCGCCGCTCTGCCCCTGTAGCTGCGCACTGCTGCGCCCCTCTTTGTGGGAGCGGGGGGAGGGTGTCTCGGCGTTACGTTTGTTTTTCTCTCCCCTTCAGCCCCTCTCCTACGTAAAAGGCCACGCATCCAGGGCCCTACTGAGTTTAGAAGTGTCCGTGCGCTATTGCACGTTGTACATCACACACCACACGCGAGACAGTTACGGAGCTGGGAAGGAAGGGGGAGGGTAATAATGGGCGGGCTAGCTGGCTAGCCCTTTTTACTTCGAGGTCGTGCTCCTAGTGCCTGCCCTCGCCCTGCCTCTGTAAAGTGGGCGCCCCCTTCCTTTGCCCCTAGAATGAGGCCTCTTTCGATTCAACCCCGAAAAGGGCTCTAGTCCCATGCGTGCATGCATGCATGCATGCCTGCACGCCCGCTCGATTAAGGGGCCGCCTATTCGTATCGCCCGAGGCCACCGCTCGCCAGCTGTACGCAGGCGAGGGGCAGCACGAAGGCGAAGGTAGTCTGTGTTCGAGGCAGCCGTCGCTTTGAGACACTAAATGCGGCAGGCTGTCCTTCTTCTCAGTACGCAGGCCGTCCCATAGGAGGAGGCATGGGGGCCCCCCCCGCGACAGGGGGATGCGCCCCCGCGCCCCCAAACGGAGGGAAAGGGGCCCCCCCCGTGGAAAGCGGTGGAGGCGTGCCGAAGGCGCCAGGCCGTGGCAGCGGGGGGGGAGCAGACATTCCAAAGGGCAAGGCAGCAGCTCCCCCACCTAGCGGGGGAGAGGCTGCGCTCACACCAGGAGTGGCAGAGGGGGGGGGGGTGAGAGGGGGGAAGGAGGGGGAGCTGCCGCGGCAACAAGCCCCATCGGGGGGGGAGGCACTGGCATTCGCACACCCGGTTGTTGCTGAGACAGGGGGGGTTGTTGCTGTTGTTGCTGAGGCAGGGGGGGTTGTTGCTGTTGTTGCTGAGGCAGGGGGGGTTGTTGCTGTTGTTGTTGCTGATGCAGCGTCGGAGGGGGAGGGGGGGGGGCCATGACGGCACTCCCTGGTAAGGACGAGGGCTGCGGAGGCGGTGGCTGCTGCTGGTGTTGCTGCTGCTGCAGAGAAAAGGGCACAGCAGGGGCCCCCGGCATCGGTGGGGGCCTCACCGCACCCACAGGGGCCCCCATCGCTATTGGGGGCGACGATAAAACTCCCATGGGGGGCGGCATGGGGCCTCCAGCACTCCTAAGTGTGGAGGAACTCTGAGGCCCCTGAGCCAATGGCTGTCCAAATGCCTGAACAACGGGAGATGGTTGTTGTTGTTGGGGGAGGGGGGGATGCAGTGAGGGGGGTGGCATCTGTTGGTGCTGTTGCTGTTGTTGGGGGAGGGGGGGATGCAGTGAGGGGGGTGGCATCTGTTGGTGCTGTTGCTGTTGTTGGGGGAGGGGGGGATGCAGTGAGGGGGGTGGCATCTGTTGGTGCTGTTGTTTTTTTGCTGGGTGGTTGGGTTGGTGGGGGGAACAGTGGGGGCCGTGTTGGTGATGGTGGGTGGGATGGGGGGGTGGTGGGTTGGGGGGGTGGGATGAGATCGCTTGGG